TTTCAAGAGTTTTTCGTGGAACAAAGGATACTATTCTTTTTAAAAGGTTAATCCGTTTCATCGCGGTAGCAGTTATAATTGAAACATGTAATGACCATGATAGATTAGGGGTAAGATGTAGGCCGAGGTGTTTGTGGGAAGGGACTTCCATTAACTGAACTCCTTTAAAATACAATGGTGGGTGGGCAATTTTTATACGTTTGGATGAAAATGTAATAAGTTCAGTTTTGAGTGGGTTAAAGGTCACCAGCCATTGGTCTGCCCAGTTTTCCACTATTTTGAGGTCATGATTTAGTCTATCAGCTGAAATAACAGGATCTCTAACAACTTCGGTCAGTGAAGTATCGTCGGCGAATAGACGGCCGTCTGTTACCAAGTCATCCACTAAATCGTTAATAAAAACGAGAAAAAGCAACGGGCCTAAGAGCGAGCCCTGTGGCACGCCCGCATCAACAGGCGCCCAATCAGAACAGGTGCCGTTAATCACGACACGCTGTTGTCGGTCGTTTAAGTAAGAAGAGATCCAAGCTAGAAGAGATCCGGTTATTCCTAGTTGCTCTAATTTGAAAATTAACCCCGCGTGCCAGACTTTATCAAACGCTTTGGATATATCTAGGAAGACAGCGCGTGTATCAAGTCCTTTGTCAAGTGCAAGATGCACATTGTGAGTTAGATATGTCAATGAATTTATTGTGGAGTCCACAGGGGAAAACCCGGAGTTCCGATCAGTAAGCAGTTTGTTTTCCAGGAGGTACGAAGACACTGGCATGTAAATAATTCTTTCAAAGACTTTCGATATACAACATAGAAGAGAAATAGGCCTGTAATTTATCTTGTCTTGTTTGTCGCCTTTCTCGTGAATTGGAACTACGTGAGAACGCTTCCAAATTGTTGGAAAACAACCACCTTGAACTGATAAGTTAAACAAGTTGGACAATGGTTCAGCCAAGGATGGGGCAATGTGTTTAAGCAGTCTATTACCTATACCGTCAGGCCCTGTGGCCTTACTTATGTCAAGGTTACACAGGACTTGATACACTTCGGCTGGAGAACAAGTAATACAATCAAGTACACTCAGTCCTGGGTACAAATTGGGGAAGAGAGGCACCCATTGTGTTTAGGTATGTTTGTGACGCAAAGTACTGGTTGAAAGTATCAGCTTTGGCCTTATCGTCGGATATAACACATCCATTGTCAATCAAAGATGGTATTGTATGATCAATTTTGCCGAGAAAAATTTCTTTGGCGACTGACCACCACTTCTTAGGATTCGTAGTCGGGTTTTGCGAGATCGAGACACCGGCTGAGTCGATAGTTTAACTTGGCTTTCCTGATCAAATTTGTGCAGGAATTGCGGATGTGTTTAAATGTAGTAAACAGAGTTGGACTTTTCGTCCCTTTTGTACTTCCGATAGATTCGCTTCTTTTTCCTCAGCATGTGTCTAATTTCACAGGTCATCCAGGGTTGATCACTCGGGCGGACAGTGATTTCTTTACAGGGAACAAACAGTTTGATAGCACTAGAAAGAGTTGCCATAAATGCTACAGTTGTGTCGTTTATATCAAGACTATTCGCTGATAATATGGCATTCCAGTCCGTAGCAAGGAGTTTAGAGTTTAGTCCCTCGTAATCAGCCTTTCCAAAGTCGTAGACAGTGCGTTTAAATGCTTTAACATGAGGGATCTTGAGGGACATTTTTCCATAAATAAGGGAGTGGTCACAATTTGACAAAGGGGGGCTCGTACCACACTCAGTAAAAAGACATGGAGAGTCAGTTATAAGCAGATCAACCATGGATGATGTCCGATCGGTAATGCGGGTGGGTTCACTTATGAGTTGGACAAAATTGTTATCGGCCACAAACCTATCAATTTCGACAGAAGCGTTATCAGATGCACTGTTCAAGTCACCAACAATGATTACAGCTGTTTTATCAGTGGGGCGACTGGTCATGATAATGTCTGCGGATTGCTGCAGGTGTTCTATAAATGCATTGCGTTCTTCCGCACTCTGACCAGGTGGCCTATAACAAGCACATATAAACACATGCCAATTGTTGGCCTCTACCTCGCACCAAATTGTTTCAAACGAGTTGCATTCTAAATCATTCCTTCTTCACAAAGTTACTAGATTGATTGATTGCAATAGACTAACAAAATACAGCACAGGAACGTGACATTATGGGAACACAAAAGAGATGACTCGGAGTCTGTTCATCAAGTAATACTCTATTTTTCAGTGATAATCTCCAAGAGTATAATTTTGCACCTTTCATACATGTACATTGTACATGTAGGATACAAAGGTTATGATTCGCAGTAGACCACCAATACAATGCAGTGAAAACCATGTAAAGTCATAAAGATATGTTAATTTTCAAAACTCATGTCCCGAATAAGACTTGATTTCTAATATGGGCCTGTGCACCATGTAAGGAGTAATATTAAGACCATCAATCTATACCACGGTGTGGTCAGTCCTACCGTTAGATTGGTCAGTTGGATGTCCATGCCAATGTGCTTGTCATATGAGAACATCTGGAATGTTCCACCATCTTGGACATGTAGGGAAGACAGGCTGACGTGTCCAGGAGTCATGTTTGCACCGATGCTGCCATTAGTGTCAATGTACACTGACCCACCATCAAACACATACAGGTCATCTATGCCTAGGATCTAGAAAAATACACCACAATTACAACAGCAATGTTATGGAAAATAGTTTATTTATGACACAATTCACAGAATTCTAATACTAAAAAACAGGATTGGTGTTCACACTAAAGACTTGACTTGACAAAGTGTAGATGCAATCCATCATTATTGGTGGAAAAGCTTTCCTTTTGTAAAAATTCTAGACAGCATCCTACCTTGCCAGACGTTCTAAGCTTTGTCTGGTAAAAGAAGGCTCTGCTTGGGTACTCGAGTTGTCCATTCTCATAGATGTAAGTGTTAACTGGCACGTCCGGATCTGTCACATCAACAGAAAAGTTCTCCATGTATCCAACATGTAGCCAGCCTAAAAATGTCAAAACAGCATAATGATTATTCACTGTCTGTACAAAATTTTTCCAGTGTTTTTTTTCATACATGTATTGTTAGTTCAGTAAGTGTTAGTACCAATGTCCAACAGCACCAAGGAAAGAAACAGAGTCAAAGGAATGCGAAGGAGATTAAAAACAGAAAATGATGATGTGTCTGTGATTTTCAGCACCAAGGAGAGGGACTACTTCCAATAACAGTTGAATCTTTAAATCTACCAGTGAGTGGAGTACTGACCAGTCTTGTCTCCATGAAGGTTGTTGATCTGCATGTTTACTGGAGTGGTGAGGCTGTTCCCAGGCATCACAGCCAGCTCTGCATTTCCCAGCAGATGTAACTGGTCAAACGTGTACTGGTTAGTCCCAGACTCTGGATCAACCCATGTCTTTGCACTGTCCAGCTCTCTATGACCGTACCTAGAAAATCAACCAAAGATCCACTGGTCAAATCTCAGTAGCAGTTACATGTACATGTAATTGGTCTATATACATGTACATGTATTCAAGTCCTCACAATTCAGCCCTTGGCTGCATGGAGAGAGTAACCGGCCCACCAAATAACAAATAATAACAAATTACAGGCCAAAACAGAGTTACATGTATGTGCTACAATGTAACAGCTTATCATACATGTACATATGGTACCTGTCATGTAAGTTCTGGCCATTGACATAGATTTCCACTTCTGACAGAGAAGCAAGATAACTGCCATGGCAGGTTGATGTCCCGTACACATGCAGTCTTACAGTTTGAGCCTCACGTCTGACTGGTAGATTTACATATGAGCCCTGGTGACAGGTACTGCTGGGAAGTACATAGTCACTGGTCACAGCAGTTGTTATAGTGTTGTTCACTGTTTCAACCTGCAAAGGTAAAAATTGATAATGTTACATTAATAAATATACAATCATCAGATTCTCAAATCAAAGTGTTAGAAAACTTGACATAAAGAAACTAATATCTGACTACATCTTCAACTACATCTCTATCTACATATCGTTTAATAAATACACTCCCTAAATAAACTCAATGTATTACATTGAACCTCCATACAATTTTCCATTTTTCAAAAACTGACCTAATAGAGAAGCCATCTACCACTTCCTGATTTGCTTTTGTTTTCCTTGTTTTCTTATGCTACGATATTTTCCTTGCGTTAATATTGGTTTCTTATGTTGTTCTTACCATATTAACTTATGATTTGACTAATGGAAATGTATTTTTTGTTGAATACGATATGTTTTTGATTGTCTTACTTTATTGTTTAGATATTTAGTTTGCCGTGTTAACTTTATATTATCTTGTTTGAGTTAATTTTCTCTTGTTTGTCCCTTAAGACATGCATGTTAATTGTTAACGTAAATAATGTTGTAAATATGAGATCATCAACAGGATTTGGGAGAGCCCACTAGATAAACCTCCTGGTTTCTTGGGCTCTCCTGCATGTATTTGATTGTACATAATTTCTTTTTATACCATTACTTTTTTTATGTGCGAAAGGACAATAAACAAATAAACAAAAAACATTTTTTCTGCAAAGTTACATATACATGTATACAGTATTATATATGTACCATGCATGTCAGCAACCTTCAAAAATACATGTAGTGTGTTTGAAGAGATCTCTAAAGAAACCCAAAATATTTCTTCAATGTGGCAGATGTAACCTTGCAGGTAAATGGTAATAGGCATTAGATATAAATGTATGGTGTTCTTAGATCACATTACCTTGAACTTACTCCGACATGCACAGTTGATGAAGACACGAATGGTGTTGACAAAATAGACATTGTTGAGGTCAAAATTCAACACCACAGATCTGCTTTCTGCCAGGAAATACTGTGTTTCCTCAGTGTGGAAAGTTTGATCAAACAGGTAAGGCAGCCAGTAGTACTGGGGGCGGTTATAGTTAGGATAACAACACCGGTAGGAGTTTGCAGTTGAGGTGATGGACACTCCTCCGCGTGATGTGTAACTTGACACTCTGCTCATCGTCTCTGGTGCCAGATCCAAACGTTCCCCTATGTTGGTGATCTCATGATGGGTGGAAGCTCTTCCTCTGTTGTCCACACGTAGAGTTGTGTTCCCCGACTCCATGCTCTGCAGAAAAACAGTGCCAGAGGCTCCGGACTCAGCTAACGCTCCAACATTTCCACCGTAGACATCAAAGGTCCCTGCGTAAGGTGCGTGTGTGATGTTGTTGGAGGAGTAGATGGCAATGCGTCCACCTGCACCACTTCCACCATTGGACGGATCTCCTGCACCACCGAGGGCTTGAATGTGTCCTGTATGTCCTCCTGTATATAATATTTATGCAATGTCATTCCTAAGCTGGTACATGTACATGTCATGAGCAATAGTAGACTTCACTTCAATAAAGTTGACTTCACTATTTCATACAAAATGTACATACATGTATACAGTGCAGTTAAACAAATGGTACAATGTATAGGTATATCTACATGTATATCAGGAACACAGACCTGTGAGTGCACCAGCAGTGATAAGAATGCTGCCACCACTGCCTCCACTGGCATCATTCAGACTTGAAGAGGAGGACAAGTCTCTGCTGTTTGCTGTGATGTCTCCGTCAACTCTCAGGGTCCCCTTCACTTCTATATCAAGGATTCCTCCACCTTTGAGATGAGAGTAAATATGTATTACATCTGTCTCTTAATAAACTATCATTTTACAGCTGATATGTCAACATGATATGCATGTACCTGTAATCAAAGTAAAAAGAGTAAGGGAATATATAAAACACACAACACACTATCTAAGTTTTGATTATTAAAAGATCAACAAAAAGCACAGTGACTGTCATTGTAACCAATAAAGTTAACATCTATGACAAATCTAAATTTGTTTCTTTGCTACTCAGTTGACATCATGGAAATATGTTCTAAAAGTGGACATCATGCAAAACATTTTATGAAAACTAGTATAACAGTATGATTAAAAAAAAAACAGCTTTTGTTACCGATGCCTCCCCTGTCACCTGCTCCACCACTGCCAAACCCGGCTGGGTAGAAGAGGTTGCCGTATGGTAGGTTCCTCCTGAGCCGACAGGTCTTGTACCCACCACATCCTCCACGGCCCCCCAAGCCGCCATGACTACCACCACTATTGCCGAGACGATGACGGGTTCCTGGGGCTGTGGGAGAAAAATCAATATTTGTGATAAGTTAAACGTTGAAAGTTAGCTTTCACTGTCATGCTTCAGGAAGTTGGCATTTGGGACTACATGCTTCTGGCATCAGTTACAGTAACTGTACTTTATCACAAAACAAAGTCATCTTTGAACAGCATTGTTATTTTGAGAATTAAGGGAGGGAATGAACTTTAAGTAATCCCTTGTTAGAAACAGGCTTTCCTACCTGGACCAAGTTCAGTTAGATATCCTCCATCACTAGCATCCACCAGTCCTCCATCATCCACTTCCATCTCTTCTGCCATGATCTTCATGTTCTTACTGTAGACAGTTCCACCGCCCTCAACAATCAACTTCCCCATGGTCAGGTTGTACTGCTCAGGATGAGCGAAGGGGCTACTGGCATTGATAGCAGACCTTGCTTTGACTGTAACCGTGCCGTTGAGGCGGTAGTTGAGCCTAGACATCTGATTGGTTGACCCAGTCAGATGAAGCCTCAGCTCACCCCCATTGATTAGAACTAAGTCATGAACATGGTCCATGGTCCCCTCAATATGGACAAATACAGAGTTCAGTTCAGTATCAGGGGCAAGTCCTAGATATCCCGTCTGGTAAACATAGGAGTTGAAGGGAGTGTCAATGAAATGCCGTTCCAGATCCATGACTTGATTTGGCCCAACATGGATGCTTCCAGTCCTGTCTCCAATCATGTGGAGAAAGTGGAGGGTTGCTCCTCTATCCACAGGGACAGTAAGCATGGCTAGGTGTGAATTGCCGTATATCTGAAGCTCCTCAAAATGATAGTCGTGGTTCCCTGCAGCGAAGAAGTGTTCACCAGCCTGAGGAAGGATCCAAGCTTTGAAAGAATCCTGAGACAGGTTGGAATAGTTGGCAATAGGGCCAACATTCTTGCTCCTGAGGTTGTTGTTGTCAATCAGCAGTGTGCGATGTTCATGGTGCAGATGGTACAAGAAGACTGTTCCTGGCCCACCTGCTTCACCCTGTTGCTCAGCTGTAAGGCTGGCCTTGTACTCTGCACAACCCCCATATGCCTGATAAGTTCCAATGTAGGTTATATTCTCACGGAAATACACAGCGATTCGGCCACCTGAGCCTCCGCCACCAGTTCCCTGGTTGTGGTATTGGGCCCCTCCATTGGCAGTGATGTTACCACGTCCGCGAAAGATGTAGCAGTTCATCCAAATGCTTCCTCCACTGCCTCCCCCACCGTGCCGTTCATGGGCATCCTCACCATTAGCTCTGACCTCGCCATCAATCTGGATCACGCCCGTGACGTTGAACCAAATCGCACCTCCGCCCCGCCCCGCTGCTCTTTCACCACCACCTGCACTGCCGAAGAGGAATGGTTCATAGAGGTGTCCGTATGGAGTCCCAGTCACAGGTGTGCCGACACCACGGCCACTAGTACCCCCGTGACAACCTCCCGATGAACCCTGCAAACTGGTCTGCCCAAGGCCAATATTGATCTCTGCAGTCTGGTTGTAATCTGAGTACGCAAATCCAGTGCCATCTGCATCGAGAAGACCGCCATCATCTATCGTTATGTTTTCTGCATATATTCTGAGGCGTGTGCCATGGAATCTCCCACCACCTTCAATGACGGTGGCATTGGTGTAAAAAGTGATTCCTGGCTCCTTGGTTGTTGATGTGATGGCATTTATTGTGGCATTGTCTTGGACAAGGACAATATCAAAGTTGTAGTAACTTGCTTCCATGCCCGCTGTCCTCCCTCCATGTTCCAGTGACATGAGGCCATTGTGATGCAGTGTCAGATCTTCCACGTGATCCAGTACTCCATGTAACCAGATGCTGACATTGTGGACTATTGTTATGGGAGCAAGGCCAAGGTACGCACCGCTGTAAACACGTGTGCTGAATGGCAGGTCAATCTCTGGACGGTGGAGATCCATTACTTGGTTCAGGCCGAGATGCACGGTTCCAGACCGATCACCAATCATATACAGGAAGAACAGAGTTGCATTGAGACCAACTGGGTCAGTAAGAATAGCAAGATGGGCAGAGCCATAGATTTGCAACTCTTCAAAGTGATAGTCATGGGTACCATTGGCAAAAAAGTGTTGACCTGATTGTGGCAGAATCCAGGTGCGGCAACCATCAGCTGTTAAGTCATTATAGTCAGGAATTATGTGGAACCTGTCCTTGGGTTGTAACCCACCATTGTCTATGATGAGTGTACGGTGTGTGTGCACCATGTGGTAAATGAATGCTGTTCCAGCACCACCATTTTCAGCCAGACTTTGGTCTCCTGCCCTCCCACCCTTTGCATGGTAGTTAAATCCTGTTGCTGTTTGGTTGTTGATGAAGTAGACAGCCACCCGGCCGCCACCCCCTCCCCCTCCCGGTGAGGATGAGTGGTTCGAGCCTTGGCCTCCATCGGCAGCAATGCGACCATATCCTGGGTGAGAAAAGAAACTCTTTGAGAGACGATGTTCTCTATGTATATCATGTATACCTATACTGTGCCAGTAGCGTGCCCTGAAATTCGTTTTGTTCCTATCTTCTATCATATTTTGTACGTATCTAGACTTCGAAAGAGCAAGTCAGCCATGGCAAGAGAACTGTGATACTGCTATAATGTAAGACTTCTCCATGGCAGGTACCTTTGATGATGTTGCAGTACATCCAGATGCTGCCTCCACTTCCACCTCCACCTCCATTTCCATCTGCATCACCACCGTTTGCAGTTACCTACAGCACAACAGTAACACAGTGTTGACTATCATCCCTTGTATTGGTCTATCTTACATTAGTTTTACATGGTCTTGTAGCACATCCCTGGATCTGTCAAGCCTAGATATATTCAGTGATTGTGTAACATTACATGTACCTCTCCATCAATGTCGATTGTCCCTGTCACATTCATCCAGATGACTCCCCCACCCGTTCCACCATAGGCTCGCTTGCCATTGATGACCAGTCCATGCCCTCCAGCACTGCCAAAGATGTAGGGTTCATACAAGTCTCCGTAGGCAAACCCTGCTCCATGACCATCATTAAGGGTCCTGTATAACACAAAAATAAATAATAGTATGAGAAGATGACAATGCATTTAAAAATTCTATTACTAAAATCTTTAAAATTCAATAGGTTCTTTGACAATAATTTACCTAATAAAATCAAGAAATAATCGGCTTGATACAAGTTTCATAATAAATCTAATACACTGTTGCCTTCAAACTGTTTTGTTGACAAAATTGACATAACTTAACCTTACAAAGTTGTGTCAATATTGCCCAAATACCTACCCTCTCCCTCCACTCCCCCCATGGCCTGCTCCTGAGCCTAGCCCAGTGACATCATCAGGAATCCCAAGGTTCACCTCTCCATGCAGGGACAGGTGTCCATGGGTTTCATTACTGTGTAAAGGGTGGTACCCTAATCCGTCTGCTGCAATCCTGCCACCTGCGTCTACAGTGATGTTTTCTGCAAGTATCGTGAGTCGGGTGCCATGCATGATACCACCTCCTTCCACAAAGAAGGCTTGAGTCATGAAAGTAATTCCAGGGTCGACGATAGGATCAGTGGTAGCATTTAGCCTTCCGTCATCTTGCACCCTTACAAACTGGAACCTGTAATGGCTGAAGTCCTCCAATAGTGTCCTTCCTCCATGTTGGAGCCACAGGAACCCTCCGTGGTGGATTGTGAGGTTCTGGATATGGGCAAGAACACCTGCCAGATGAATCTCCACTCCATGGACTTCTGTGACAGGTGCTAGTCCCAAATATCCGCCGTAGTAGACGTGAACACTGAAGGGGAGGTCTATCTCAGGACGATGGAGTTCCACCTCCTGCCCTGTTGCAATGTGAACTGTACCTGACCGGTCTCCAATCATGTATCGAAAGAACATGGAGACATTGTATGGTACTGTGGAGGTAAAGACATTCTCATCATACAAGGCATGTTGGAAGAAGTGTGTGCCATTTGACGAAAGTGTTGGTGACAGGACAGCAAGGTGGGCACTGTCATATATTTGTAATTCCTCAAAGTGGTAGTCGTGTCCATAGCTGGCTAAGTAGTGTCTTCCCGAGTTGGGCAGGATCCATCCTCGGCAGCCGTCCTTGTCCAGATTGTCCCAGTCAATAGCCTTTCTTCTTGGGTCATGTCCACCATTTTCAACAATCAGTGTCCTATGCTCATGATGCAGATGGTACAGGAAAATAGTTCCCGGTCCCCCTCCTTCACACTCTGAGTCAGGGGTGTCATCACCACAAGCCCCCCCATGTGACTGGTAAGAGAAGCCTGTTGAGGTGGCATTATCCCTGAAGTACAATGCTATCCGCCCTCCAGCCCCTCCCCCTGCTGGGTAGTTAGGGTGGCTTGAGCCAGCTCCACCATTGGTTGCTATGACACCAGAGCCCTTGATGAGATGACAGTTCATCCAGATGCTCCCACCACTGCCTCCTCCACTTGGACTTGACCCTGAAAATACATTGTATGCATTGTCCGTGAAAAGTTGATCCATGTGTAACACAATGACAAAGCAATTATACATATGCATCTTTGCTTGTACATGTCTACAAATGTATAATTACATCATCAGGGACATTAGAGAGACAAAAAAATAGGAAAAGACCTTAAGTTAGCACATCAAACTAAACATTTAAAGGATGGACAAGATATGGCATACATCTTCACACATTTTACATACTTCCCACAAAGTTTTACTGTAGAATGTATTAGTCTACTGGCCTGTTTCATTAGGACCTGGCCAGGTGTAAAAGGGCTTGTTGGTAGAGTGTCATAATGACTAACAACAATAGTTTCACACTTCTACTCAGTCCACAGAAAAGCAGAGGACACTCACCATCTCCATTAATACCACTGGCAGACACGGTGCCGTCAATGTGGATGGTGTTGGTGACGTTGAACCAGATCCTTCCACCACCGGACCCACCGTCTGTCCCCCCTCCTGCACTGCCAAACTGGTCAGGCTCGTAGATATCCCCATATGGCTGTCCAGTGTGTTCTGTGTCTAAAATAGCATAATGAACCAAATGAATACATTATACATTTTGTAGCTCACAAGAGGTGATTGCAATAAATAGTAAGAAATCACAATAAATGCAACTACATGTATTACTGCAACTGAAACTAAATGTATAACTCTTTTGTGGGAGGATACAATACTGTTAAGGTAGCTTATTATACTTCTGCACTAGTCTGAATGCAAGTAAATTTGGTCCAGGGAACAGGTAGTAAAAAGGATCTATTATATTCATGCAGTAAGAGATATGGTATGAATCCTTTTCAAAAGGCTAATTAAAATTACTTTTTCCATGGCCGCCACTCCCCCATGTCCTCCTCCAGAGGCTGCGTTTAAGTTCTCCACGGAGCCCAGACCGATGTTGATGATGCCGTGAAGGCCCCTGCGATAGGTACCGTCCGGGTTCAGGCTGGACCCGTCATCAGCCGAGTATCCGTGCCCATCAGCTGACAACGTTCCCCCATCATCAATGGTGATATTTTCTGAGTGAACATACAAATGTGTCCCTTCCACCAGACCGCCGCCATCTATGTGCAGAATCCTGGTTTGGAATGTGATGCCATGTTCGCTGACTGGGTCTGAGATCATGTGAATGTATCCTTGGTCTTGTACATGCACCATGTCAAACACATACAGCCCTTCCTCATCATCAGATACCGTTCTGCCTGGAAAGGAGACAAAACAAAAATAACAGTTGTCATACATGAAAGGAGCCATTATAGTGAAAATGATTCCACAATTGGCTTGTAAAAGGGTATTATTAAACAAAACTTTATGACACCTACCATGTCTGTTGAGATAGAAATGTCCTTCGTGATGCAGGGTCAAGTTCAACACATGGGATAGAACACCATTCAGAATAATGCTGACCCCGTGGACGAAAGTGTCTGGAGCCATTCCAATGTGGCCACCCTGATACACATGCACACTGAAGGGCAGGTCAATCTCTTCTCTCTGGAAAATTATCAAATACTTATTAGTAGGAATGTATGATATTGTGAAAAATAAAATTTTGCACCAGGTCATCGTGCTATGTGTGACCGGTAGCAAACATGCAACAGCAAAGCAAAACATTTAATAGAGTCTGGCTGGAGGTTCCCCACCTGAAGGTCCATGCTCTGGTTGTTGCCTACATGGATGGCCCCTGTCCGATCTCCTATCATATTCTGGAAGAAGATAGTGGCAGGTTGGTCGGGGGGATCTGTCAGGACTGCCAGGTGGGCATTCCCATAGATCTGGAGCTCGTCAAAGTAGTAGTTTTGATCACCTGGACACAGTTGAGCAAGAAAGAGTCATTGAACAGACATTTGAAGTATTACTGACATTTTGTACAATACTTAGTAATAAAAGAATAAAAACAGGAAGAGTTATAAATTTACTCATTAATAGCCTGTACAAGTATGTCACAACAGGTGACTGAAAGAATCTAGAAAATTCACCATTGTCATACATGTGTATGACAAAGTGAATCATCAATTTAAGGCAGGGAATTATCCTTAGTTAACTCTTTATAGACAAAAGCCGAGTATCCCCATGGCTGTTGTGATTAAGCTTACACATGTAGCAAAATGTACCAAGTATTTGCCTGATTGGGAAGATGCTACAGTTTACAAGGGAATGTACTAACCTGCAAATTCATGTTCCCCATGAAATGGCAGAAACCATGCCCTGCTCTCATCCTCAGACAGGTTGTGATAGTCCTCGATGGAGTTTTCCTCCTCAGACGGCCCAGTGCCATTGTTGTGGAGCAGCAGAGTTGTGTGATTGTGTACTGCAAACATTCAACAAATTTATCGTTTTAAACTAACAAACCGGCTAAAGAAACAACTGTGTAAGCACAGCATTCAATCAACAAAGTAATATAATTAATATAATACCAACAACAAATCACAAAGACAGTTGCTGATTCACAATATCACATTGTACAAAGGGAACATGATGAAGGCTACATGTTCATGTATTTGGGTTTCCTAGCAATAATGGGAAGTTCAATGGACTTTGAAGCTCACGATCTAGTATTTTATATTTCTATCATCTATCACCATAGACAAACCAACAGAACACAATAGAACACCTTTATGGTAGAAGAAGATTGTTCCAGGACCCCCGACACCTGCTGAGGTCCCTCCCAGTCCTCCGTAGGCCTGGAAGGATCCTGAGAAGGTTCGGTTCACAGCGAAGTAGACAGCAATCCGTCCTCCCGCTCCTCCCCCTCCTCCATAGCTGCTTGAGTAGGAGTGCCCTTGCCCTCCATTGGCTGACACAACACCGTAACCCTGGGGATGGAACAAGTTGAACCAAAAGGTTATTATCTCAAAGAAAAGTTCTTACAAATGTACAAAACATGTATGTCATAGACCTCTGTTAATAAATTCAACAAGGTTTTGGACTGATTATACAATGTCATGTAGAAATAAAACAAGGCTTATAAATGAAAAAATCTAATAAAATAATAATAATTCTCAATTTTGCATGATTATAAATTCTGACCCTCTTGCCGCAAAATTATATAAATGAAATGATGATGAATGTGTAAGTTGATATTCCATGACGCCTTACCCGCATCAGTTTTGTATGGATGAAGAGACTGCCTCCACTCCCTCCTCCTGCTGCATTGTTCTCAGCATCTCCTCCATCCACACTGATCAGGCCATCCACCTGCACACATGGCAGCAGGTTGTTTTACATGGTGAAAAGAATGAAATCTAAACAATGAAGAATGCTCAGAAAATTGAGAAATGAGGGCTAGGAGTCCAGAAATTTCCTGACAGCCACCTCTATATAATCTGAAAGTTTATCAAATTGAGGATGTGTCAGCATACCTGAAGTTTTTCTGTTACGTTCAGCACGATTGCTCCACCACCTTTCCCAGCATATGTAGGGTTAGAGTGACCTCCTCTGCACCCAACATCTCTGGGTTCAAACAAGTGGCCAAATGCACTGCCTGTAGTCCTGTAGTGGGAACCACGCCCTCCTCTGCCACCATGTCCAGCACCTACACACAAACATAATCATCAAGGTTTTGAGATGAAAATGTTGTTAAAGCCTCTAAAAATGATCTGTTACATCTAGCAAGTACGTGTACTAATGCAAGCACATTTTTGTAAATTCAGTACAAAAATTTAACTAGTTCTACTATACCATTTAGTTGTACATGTAGTGTAGTGCAACATATTAAAGAAGTACATTGTACTTTCTAACTTCAAATCCATATGGTACATTCAGAAAATTAGCACTAATATTTCTATAGCATACTGTAAAAATACTTAAAGCTGCTATCATTATTACTGATATTGTTACCACCACAAAAATACCCTACCACTGCTGCCATAGCCTGATCCAGAGCCTGATCCGTCCACACACGGCATCTCATGTACGTCCCCCACCAGCCTTCCCAGGTCATCAATCACCACTTCTGCTGCCGTGATGTCCAGACGTACCGCGTGCAGGAGGCCATCACCTTGGATGTGCAGTTTACCAACCTTTCCAGAAAACATTTGTGCAATTACTAAACAAATCTGTGATACATATTTTGTGCACAACATGGAATAAAACACGCATGATGATCAACAAAACAGCTACCTGGGTAAAACAATCCATTACCTGGAATGTGATATTTCCATTTCCATCTGTGACATCAGCCGGAGTTGTGACCTCTCCACCATATGCCACTGTCAGGGAGTCAAACCTGTAGGTGCCGGGCTGGGAGAGGCTGTTATTCTGCCTGGTTCCACCAGAGGGTGCTAGGTACAGCTTACAACCATCAGCAACTGTCATGTCATGGACATCGATATAGCCCCTGTGTGCAAAAAATGGCAGAGGTTATTGTTTTCTTGCAGTCCCACCAGGCCAAGTTCACAAACTTACACAGGCAGCACCAGGGACAGGGAAACACAGTCAGCACTGGGGGCAGGGAAACACAGTCAGTACCAGGGACAGGGAAACACAGTCAGCACAAGGGACAGGGAAACACAGTCAGCACCGGGGAAAGGGAAACACAGTCAGCACCAGGGACAGGGAAACACAGTCAGCACCAGGGACAGGGAAACACAGTCAGCACCAGGGACAGGGAAACACAGTCAGCACCAGGGACAGGGAAACACAGTCAGCACCGAGGACAGGGAAACACAGTCAGCACCGAGGACAGGGAAACACAGTCAGCACCAGGGACAGGGAATCACAGTCAGCACAGTTTTTTACACTCATTATGACAAAAACTATCAATATTAATATTAATCTAGACCAATGTACTTTTACTATCTATGACCTTGTACTTTTGACTTGTTGTAAGTTACCTGACAGTGAAGGTGACCCCTCGGCAGCTGAAGGATGGAGGCAGAATCAGATGACCTTCCTCGTGCACGATGACGTTGAGGTCAAACTGGGAGTGGTCAGGGAACTGGCCAATGACATACTGGCCTGGTAATATATGCAGGTATCCTGTTCCATCTCCTACAAATTTGTATGTCTTCAAACTAGGATGAAACAAAAGAGATAGATATGTTTAAGCCTGTCCTGTGGAGCCCATATATACACACATTATATATATGGGTTGCACATGCAGTACCATCTATATAGCAACCTGTATATGTACGATATGGGAGTATTTCTCATGCAACACATCACACTGCAGTGAAACGTAACAAATGCGGAAGTAACTACACTAACGCAAGCCAAAAAAGGTAAGGGTCTGTGACCTGATTAAGACATCAAATATTTGAAAATATTGTGTAAAAAATGCCAGCAGGACAAGGATTAAGTAACAATCTAACAAGCTACCACTCATGCATAGAATTCAATCCAAAGAGCCAAATTGCTGCTAATGAACACAGGAAACATTGTACAAGTAACTACTCCTTTGCAGTTAGTCTGATAGATTACTCATTGACGAAGAAATTGCTACAAAAAGTTATATACAAATCCAGCAACTGTACATACAAGTAAGACATGGATGTGATACCTGATAACATCTGGATGCAAAGCCAAATGAGCATGTCTGAAAACATGGATTTCTTCAGACTCATGTTCTGTTTGGTTCTGTATGATCCAGGTGCGGCTGGCTTCTTGAGACAAAGGTTCGTAGTTGGTTATCTCTGTTGACAGAGGGTTTTGGTTGTTGTTGTCAACAATGAGGGTGCGGTTGGCAACATTTGGTGTTAGGTCCTGGAAAATAAGGATTATGTCTGTTACTGCTTAAGCTTACTAATACTTTACATAATATGTATGACTAGGGACATGCAGGCTAATATATTGCTGGAAGAAAAACTTCTATCACACGTTTTGTTAAACTAAGAGAAGCAGCTTACCTCCATGTATATTGTACCACTTCCACCAATACTGTATGGAGATGAGCTTCCATAAGGCCTGCCACCAAATGTTTGCAGCTTTCCAAACCAGAAGTCTCGCTTCCTCCAGTGCACAGCTATCCGCCCCCCTCCCCCACCTCCGCCATACGTGCCACCATTACCACCATTGGCCTTGGGAGAGAAAAAAGTCAATTTCCAAACAAATTCAACCAAGAGTAATGCACTTTGACATGATTTTATTATTTTCCCTGGTTGCAACAATGATGAATATGAAGAAGGGACTAGTGAACAGCTATTGCAGCAATAAACATTTTGTACATTGTTTCACAAATAAACTGACCAGAGTGTGTAATATGGAAGAACTTCTTCTCACATATCCAAAACCATAAGTTTTGGTATCAATACATAATCTTATTGGCATCACTACATAATCATAATCATTAAATATCCCTACTGAAAAACACTATTTATGCCAAATAGTGTGATTATTTAAAGTGTAGAAAAATTAAGAGGATAATGGCTTTGCACACACGGCATTAAAAAAAGAGAAAAAAATCCTCCCCTATTTCAGTGATGTCACCTTACCATGACAGTTCCTGATCCTTCAAATTCATCTACATGGAGCCAGATGCTGCCTCCACTGCCTCCTCCATCATAGCTCTGTCCTCTCTTCCCATTGGCTCGGATCTCTCCTTCCACCTTCAACACCTTTGTGATGTTCACATGAAGGATCCCTCCACCTGAAATTGTAAGTGCTGATGAGGTTCTGCCCCTTAAATTGGAAGTTGTCTACTTATAGAAAACAATTTGGTGTGCTGGATTTTTCAATCCAGTTTCTGCATGACTCCATTTTTTTATGGAAACAAACAGTGGACAAACTCAATCTTACAGCTCTTTTCATCTGTTTTTTCTTCAAAATGAAGATTCCAGAAGGTAGAGGATCTGTATAATCTAACTTCTACCTTAGTTAGGACATTTGTTCACCTGGAGTTGTGTAAGAACTCCCACCAGATCCTCCACTTCCAAATGACACTGGCTGATACAGATTTCCATAGGGTGTACCAGTTGGTGCACCTGTCCAACAGGAATACAAAGTTATTGCAGATACTCAAAGAATGGAAAATAACAGGCAAAACACATTTTGACGGGTGGTTATACACTATTTCATGTGACCTCAATTGTCATGGAAATAGATATTTGTTTTGTTTTTTTTATCCCATGAAAAAAAATTGTGATTGAAAACTAAGACATTGCTTCTACTCACTGCTGATTGACCCTCGGCCACCTTGCCCCCCGTATCCGGCCCCTGCTCTGCTGGACCCCACCCCTGCTCCCTCGATATCACCCTGCTCGGACACGTCCAGGACTGCTGCTGAGTCCACAGTCAGGGTGTGTGCCTCCAGGTACAGGTTCCTAGCCTTCAACAGTCCTCCACCTTCAAGTGTTACTGAACCATCCCTCTTCTTACCTTCCTTCTCATCTGGATAAACCTGTGATTACAAAACAGCAACAGCTGCATGGTCACTAAAAGCCTAAAGGTGAAAACAGTCAATGCAGCGAATAAAATTCAACATACATCTTCAGCACAATCATGTATCTATTAAGTAGACAGAGACCAGTGCTGGTTAGGTGCAGGCAGATATCAGAAATACTGTACCTGCACAGCCCCGATTTCACCTGCACTAAGGTGCATATGCACCCAGTATTTCAAGCCCTGCATGTTCTTGGCAATCCAGTGCAGGGAATGCTAAGCAGTGAATTGGGCTTACCTGCACTAGCCACTGGTCACCCTCCTTCCCATAGTGACTATTGAGTTGTAAGGTGCCACCATCTTGTACAGTCAGTCCTACCATCTCCAAATACCTGGGGCTGGGGAGCTGCATTGTCAAAGTCCCACCTGGAGTATTGTCAAGGAGAAACAAGAGAGTGAGTGTGAGAAAGTGAGAGTATGTGTGCAAGAAAGAAGAGAACGAGTGAGTGAGTGAGTGAGTGAGTGAGTGAGTGAGTGAGTGAGTGAGTGAGTGAGTGAGTGAGTGAGTGAGTGAGTGAGTGAGTGAGTGAGTGAGTGAGTGAGTTGTAATCCTTACCTGATCCAACAATTACGTGTGCCTGTGAGCTGTCCAAGGTTCCCCATATCTTCACCTCTGCACTTCGGAGCCTGCTGGTGGCACAGTTATCACTGTTGTACTGGCTTTCATCAAAGGGCTGTCTCAGTTCTATGGTAGCTGTGGGGAGGATCAATGTAGCATTCTCATAGATGTAGGGAGCCCAGGTGATGTTAGCTCTCTTGTATGGAGAAACCTGTAAGGAAAATATTGGAATAAACATTTTGTAAGTATTAATTTCATCAAGAACCTTTTCTTCAAACTGACATCATGAATACAATTGGAGATGTGTTTGATAGTATTTTTAGGTGCCGTACCTCTGTGATATGGAGGGTGTGATATGGTGGCAGGTGTACATATCCTGTGTCATCTCCAAGTACTTGTGTTGCACGAATTGTTGTCCTGTTCCCACTGACAGTTAGGTGTGCACTGCCATATACCTCTATCAGTGTGAACTCATATTCAAAGTCATCTTCAGGTGGCAATAGGTAGGCAACGGCACCTGCAAAATGAATAATTATCATCGCATTATATTCTGTTATGAATAAATGACCTTAAATGTATTTCAAAAGTTGTAAGGGAAATTATTTGTGATTGTTAGATAATACATGTACATGTACATTGAAGCCTTAATCAGTGATGACACGCATACAGTGTTAATAGTTTCACAGCCACCCATAATGTATCTTTGCCATACATGCAAATGTGTACATGGACATGGCAACAGTCACCCACCTGTTTGTATGTATTGTGCAAACTGCTCTTCTCCTGCACGATCCCCAGTTGGCATGGTGACCTGGAAATAATGAATGGATGAGTAAATAAATTTATAAAGGACTAAATGAAGGTGTGAAAGTTAAGCATGAAGAGCACACACATAACTATAGAAAAAGCTAAATTATTACAAGGCTGGGTATGTTTGAGATCTGGACACAAATATAGGTGCACAAACAGATGCAATAAGCTCCTTTTGAAGATACATGTGATGTGTATAATTTGTCTTATTCACCTGCGGCTCTTGACATTTGTTGTCGACCCGCAGGTTTTTGTTGACTGGGTTTGTCCCTTCCATGTAGGCCATGCCTGGACCTCCTGGTTCTGTTGAGGAGCTACCAGAGCTGCCACCTGCATGGACACATTAAAACATATTGTACAACATGCCGAAGTATCAAGGACTCCATTAGCTTTCATTTAAACCTCATATCCAAAGATCAAATTACATACAAGAAAATACCTTTTGCTTCAATGTGTCCACTCTTGAAGTTGCCAGTGTTGTAGTAGATGGTTACCCTCCCTCCGGCTCCACCCCCACCTCTGTTCCCATTACCACCATTACTGTATATGTGTCCATCACCATGGAAACGGTCACAGGTCACCCATAGTGATCCACCACTTCCTCCCCCAGCGTATGTCACCTATAGTTAAAGGATATGTCTTAACAATCAATGTATGTAAGTTATTACAATATGTAGTTACCAGTAACTTAACAGTATTAGTCCCTAAGACTTAGTTAAGACTACAATATGAATTCAAGTTAAGACTAAAATATGAATTTGCAAAATGTTAATATGTCTTTAATGTAGAAACACCTTCCAAAACCAGTTCAAATTCTGTCCAGGGCCTACTCTAATTGATTTGTTCTCAAATTTTCTGACATTTCTCTAAACTTCCTTCCTAAACTCAACTCATTCTTTGTGACAATACTGAATATCAATGTGTGACCAATATTTTGTTGACATGACACAATTTCATCTCAATCAAATGTCTGTACTCACGGTTGCATCTCCCCCATTAGTGCTGATTCTCCCATCCAAAGTAAAGTCAATCCCATCCAGGTGTATCAGGCCTCCCCCACGCCCTCCTCCACTGGAAGTTTTGTTCCCCCCTCCACTCCCCAGTGTTCCTTTACTGAAGATGTCACCATATGGAAGGTTTCGTGAAGGTCCATATGTGGAATCGCCGCGGCCGCCCCTTCCACCATGGCTGGCACCCGAGGCACCAGATGAGGAAGATGTTCCAGCTCCTAAGGTTAAACACAATATTGTCTCAGTATTCTTTATTATAATTCTGTGCTTCTTGAAGACCAAATAGTTTGGTACACACTTGTAGTGTTGTCATAAAACTAGTTAACAAGTGAAAAGTAATATTTTTTTACTACTTCACAGATTAAACATGGAACATTTGAACTGCTTTAAGATAAGTGTGTTTGCATGAAACATGCATGTGTTGGTAATGACAATATTACATAGCATTCTCTGGCCGTCATTAATATAAGCACTTACCTGGACCTTGTCCACCAAAGTGTCCACCTTTGTCAACATTGATCACACCTGTAGAGGTCACCGTGATTGTCTCTACAAACAGATACATCTGTTCCCCGATATATGTACCAGCAATCAGGACATGCCCAGTTCTGTTCTTGGATTTTCCTATCATTGTCATGGCAGCATCGACAGACACACGGCCACCATTGTCAATGATGAAGGAGTCAACTTCAGTGGAGTTGGCATCAAATGTCATGGTGCCTCCAACGTCTAGACTGTTGATGCTGAAGGAGAGGTCTTTCCCGGTCAGAGTGCCATTGACTGTTGCTCTGTTCATCAGGAGTTCGGAATATGGACGATGGATGGAAGCAGTGCCTGCATAGTCACCACTGTCCAGCGTGAGAGAGCTACCCGGTGCCATATCCAAGGTCTGTACATCAACGTCATCCCGCCCTCGAATCAACACCGGATTCAGAACCCTGACGGACCCACCAATGGTGACCTGGTTGACCTGAACTTCAGACGTGGAGGACTGGAAGGTGTAGGTCCCGCCCACCTCCAGGACATCCCAGCCAATCCCCATGTCCACAGCACCTGCATGAAGCGATCCCAGGACCACCATCTCTTCGGTATGTATTTCTGATGGGACATCTCGCCAGTCGTTCTGCCCTCCTCCATTGGTGTCCAGAAGAACCTCCCCTGATGGACCAATCAGAATCCTCGGAATCTGATTAGTTGACAGGCCATGTATGACAACTGGATTGAAGGTCTTCAAGGTGCCATTGATTTCGATCACATCAACAGAGAAGTCTTGGTGTGGATCGAACTCCAGCGATCCCGAGCCATTCACGTAGAGCACATCCCACCCGTTCTGAGGGGAGGCTATGGCCTGGACTGTGAGAAGTCCTGCGAGGAACTCTCCCTGGATAACTGCCATGTGAACACAAACCTTGGAGATGCCAGTCCAGTTCCCCGCATCTCGACCATCTTTGTCCAAATAGAGCTTTCCTGAAAATGCATGATCAATCACAATTAATTGCCATGAAAACACTTTCAACAAGTTACTAGTACATACTTACACAGTCAGTTAGAGATTATCATTTAAATTTGTCAGTACAAGTTAACAAAAGATCCAATGAGAAAATCGATGACATGTACCTGCATTTGGTCCCACTGTAAGCTGTCTGATCCGTTGTACTGTCTTCCCCTTCAGAAAGATACTGTTTGCCACCTCAATCTTTCCATCAATGTACAGCTTATCAATCTGGAAGGTTCCCACAGCGCGAAGGCTGAATACACCGTACTCCTGTACAGTCAAAATGGACCACCCATCTCCAGCTGACAGGGATTTTGCTGTGAGGTGCCCATTCACTGATACAGTCTCAAAGTGGAACTCAGAATAGGAGGTATTTGTCTGAATGCTGTTTGTAAGCCCTCCTTTATCTAGGGTAAGGCTGCTGCTTCTTTCCATGACAAACTCCTGGACCAGTGGTTGGTCCCGCCCTCTGATGACCACAGGATTGAGAATATCTACAGTGCCAGATTGAGTGATCCTGAATGCATTGACTGAGAGTTCGTCACTGTTAACTTGTAGTGCAAACGTGCCTCCCACTCTGAGATTATCCCAGCCTGTACCTTCATCAAGAGCCCCGGCCATGAAGGTACCATCCACTGTGACATCTTCTGCTTGCAGAGTTGAGTTGAAGCTCCTCCACACTTCTGATCCACCATTGGTTGAGTCCAAGGTCACTGTACCTGTGGTTTGGACATTGAAGCTTTCACAGACTATGTCCAGGGGACTTTTAGACTGGAGGGTGCCTCCAACATTTATCTGAGATACAGACAAGCCTGAGACAGCATGATTGAATATCAGAGTGGCACCATTGTTGATGGTGAAAGATGTTGTGATCTGTGAGAAATCAGCGGCATGTGTTGTGATAGTTCCACCACTTCCTCCTATTCTCATCTCTGTCATATTGAGGGTCAAGGTACAGCTCACGGACAACTCTGCATTCTGTCCCACACGTACCTGTTCTTCATTAACCACAGGCGTCCCACTTATCATCAGACTTGTTCCACAGTGTCCCGGGTTGGTGGCATTCTGCAACAGCACTTTGGAGTTAGTTTCGACGTGTAACTTTCTGAACCTACAGGTGTGGTCCCCTTCTGGCTGGACAGTCAGAGTGCTGGAACCTTGAACCGTCAGGGCAGGGTCAGCCGAGTCACCAATAGTGCCGTAGACTGTGACATCCTTTGTGAATGCGGTCTGTGGGTTATAGGGTAGATCCAGTATCCCTTGAGACTCCACGTAGGTCTGAGCTGACAGTGTTTGTCCTAGACTGAAGGTCTTCTGCGAGATGACATGCAGAACTGAGGTGTCATCTCCCGTGACTGTCTGTGCAGAGATATCCATCCCGATGACAAGATGGCCGCCATTGCTGAGGGAAATGCTGTCGAATGAGCTGGGAGATGCGTCCGTCACCCATGCTGCTGATCCTATTTATAGAAAAGAACCAGGTGAACTATCTCTACAACAGCCTAACAGTTAACTACATGTATGCTTCTCTTTTGCCATGAGGTCATCGCAGTTCAATAAGGTTTCCATAAGATTAAGAGAGATAACAAAAATCATATATTTTTGGTGTTTATGGTATTGCATTGAATGGCTCCAAAACAAAAGCTAGTAACAGAATATTACAATCATTATAATCAGCTTTTTGGCCACTTCAGGATGTTATAATCTTTTATTTCAATGGCCAATGATACCTCCATGCATATCCTCGGGGTCTAGAAAGAGACTGGTAGCCTGGCGACGTGAATAGCCCCTGGCTTTTCACAAACAACTACAAACAAATATTTTAAAAGATTGGTACTGCGGCTATCGAGATCATGATTCTTGAACTCTTTCCAATGCAGTTGTGCTTACCAAAGTTTGGGTTCTCCTGGCTTCCTAACTGCACAAGACCACCTACTGGGCATGATCATTTTCTCCCTCCAAACTCAACGACAATGTCTGAGCCTTCAACTGACTTCTTTTACACGAAACGATTTTGAAACGGAACATGGTGACGTTTAACTAGATTGATGGGCGCATCTAAGGAGGTTTAATCTTGGTATAACGTTGGGACATGAAAACAAAACAGACTTTCACTCCCTCCAGCCCGCGCCAGCCCGCGCCAAGCACATGTGAGGTCACCAGGGGTCACACATATGGCGATCTGCCCTGCTTACCCCAATAGCGTCACAAGAATAACACCCACCCACCCGCTGTGGTAAAAACAGCGTTCCCAGTGTCCATGTTTGTGTCGAGTGCTGACCTCAACACAGTTGACAACGTTAAGTTGTAACGTTACACGTACTTCAAGTTCAAGTTCAATGTTTTAAATTCGTATTGTTTTAACCGAAATGTAAATGTCAGAAATTCCTTGAGTAGACAAACGATAAGGAGAAACTATACTTTGAGATCGTTAACAAGTGGACATGTTGTTTTGTTCCCTAAGTTTTTAATATGTTAGAATGTAATAACATTTTTTTTTGCAATTTTTTGTCGCAATGAGTGACATGTCCAAGAGAAAATAAAACAATTTGACCCTAGCTTTCCAAGGCCTACTCATGACATCACATACCAAATATTATTACCACCCATCTATAGCTTCTTGGGTTATTACTGGCCAAAGTATGCGGAAATGCAGAGAAGCATACAGCGAACCCTTCAACATTATACTCACCAGATTTCTCAATGTCGTATTTCTGACAAGAAGTGGTTAGTCCTATCTGTAAAGGAAGGATAAAGGGTTTATCTTAACCTCTGATTAATTCTTCCTGTGTTCTTAGATAATGGAGCGGTAGGGTATTTCATCATCAAGCACGTTGTAATCATTCACAGTGCAAATCAATACAGCTAGAAAAGTCCAACGGAATGGAAATGCATTAATATGTAAAAGCCCTACACGGTCAAAAATGCTTGCAACGTCTAGATCTAGTGTGTGACTGTAAATTTCCTTTGAGTCGACACAAATGTAGTTTTTACCTTTGGCAGACGGTACTTGTTGTCTACCACCAGGTTCCTGGTGCCTGGTGTTGTGCCGTAGAGACGAACTACAGTCCCGGGTCCGCCTGGTTCTGGTCCTATAGTCAGGTTATGGGGAAACAATCCATTTTAATTCAGTCAACCTCATAGATTTCCGGTTTTGTGTGTGTGTGTGTGTGTGTGTGTGTGTGTGTGTGTGTGTGTGTGTGTGTGTTTAAGCCTTGTCTTTTTACATCTGGAGAGAGTAACGTTATAGTTCTGTAAATAACCCTTATAGTTGTATTTTAAAAACTTGTGCTTCGCCCATAGCAGGTGTCTCACTAATTATTTGTGTAAAGGTAAAGACTTTTAAAAGTTTTTTTTAAATACACAGTATTTGTCACCTGTGTTAGCTGTACACTCGGACCCGACCAATTCGCCATCAGCCGTCTGGGTTTTTCCATTGAACCTGACCGCCAGTGCAATGTCACTGTTCCACGTTTTTGGCCTCACACGGATTTGTTTGGCCAATATGGAATAATCCAGGTCGTTGGTGACAATGGTGTTTCCGTCATTGTTCCCTGTGAATACTTTGTTGGAGCCTGTGTTCGGGTCCTAAAAATAACCTCCATTAGTTCCATTCGTAATTCGCATAAACATTTCTTAAAGAATGTGATGAAAAGTTTATCACTTAGCTTTGAGAATACCTTAAGAACATTTATACGGCAACAAGATTACTGATTAGACAAGAATGCTGATCTTCTTCAAAATGTAAGAAGGAACACGACGCTGAATTTACCGTGTGTCCGCTTCCTATGACATGACTTTCAGGACATGAATTGGTCAACACCAAAGCAGTTAGCCCTTGCCTATGTCAACTAGTATTACATGCTTCAAGCTGGTAAAGGCAACGGATGGCTCAGTGAAGGTTGATAAAAGAATAGAAGTTCCCGCTTGCCGAAGGAATCAATGTTATTGGATTAACAGCAATGTTGAACGGTACCTTGACGTATTGCCAGTTGGTCCCGTCCTCGGTGTACTGCAGTTCGTAGGTCCGCACGTACCAGTTAGAGGAAGGCCTGCCTCGGGTTTCTATGCTGTAAACGTAGCCTGGTTCGCGGAAGTTGGCCTAGAAAGAACAGGATAAGGTTCTAATACATAGAATGGCTTCTATTTCAACGTTGATAATGCTTTCTCAAAACCTTTCTTTTTTCGAATTGCGATGGCAACATTGCCGAAATGTCTTCAAACTGTAGACATGGCTATACATTGTGTCTTTGGCTGTCAATTTGCTTGGATAAAATTTCACTGTTTTTTACATATACTTTAGCATATATATGAAATATGTAAATACATGTGATCCATAGAGAGAGAAATGTTACCAATGAAAAGCTTTCCGATTGTGAATTTCCTTATCAGTACACACTATAAAGAAAGTATTTTAATTTTAACAACTATATTTGACTGTTTTTGCCAAGGGAAACCATAGTCACTGGTCGGTCAAATGGTTGGCGCGTATAAAGACATTGTGTTCCTGCCAGTTTTGTCAGAATTACCTGTAGGTACTGACTGGTGTCTTGATAGCGAGGGCGCCAGTATCCATTAGTGTTACCAGAAGCCTGCAGGTTTCCGTTGTTGTGGCAGTAGGATGAGCTATAGCATCTACTTCCTGTCATGCTGCTTGGTGACAACGGAGCAGAGCCGGCATCACCTGAAAACACACCGTGGAAATCATACCCATGCCATGGGGTCGTGTGGCGCAACGGCAGCGTGCGCGACTCGGAATCAAAAGGTCCCGGGTTCGAGTCCTGACATGCCACCGATCTTGTGCCCTTGGGAAAGGCACTTTACACGACTTTCCCCAGTAGACTCAAGTGAAAATGAGTATTGTCTGTCCTGTATTTGTTTCTATGTGCGGGACAAAACACAAGAAACAGCTGCCTCTGTTTCGCGTGTATTGCACTGTTGCAATTTCAATAAATAGATAAATAAATGCCTGATGTTATAGCACACGAGATGATGTGATTGCTCATTCTATATAAGCATGTTGTTGAGGCTGTTGAACGCTCGCATCTTCTGTCAATGTGAAATATATTAATCAATTAATCAATCTACTTCAGCCACGGTGTAGAGTTTGAGTTCCATAAAGACCGACATCAACGCAATTGCGAAAATATGTTATAAATCAAGATGTCCTCGGAATGAGCTTGTAAAATAGATGTACTTCGACTTTATTGAGACTGGCAAAACAAAAATTTCTAAGGTAAGATGCAGATAGTTGTGTTGCCGGGAGCAAGTGCAGGCCTGTAAATGTCACTTCTATAGGATGGAAACAGCTTTCGTTTTCAAAATCATCACTCGAAAGTGAATTTGATTTGCCGATTTGTCGTTGTCACATGGTCTAAAGTTCGACCACAATTTTGGTTCACCACAGAAACGCTATGTAAGGGTGGGGGTCTGTTTACAGACACGCCTTAAATGGACCCTTGGAGCACACGCGAGCTCTTGCAATGCCAGTGACCAGACCTAGTTTGAAAACAATATGTCAGTCAAGCACATTCCTGTAGTTACTACTTGATAAAGGGTCAATATTTGTCCGTGGTGCAAAATTCCTCGATCAAAGAGACCGTGTGATATGAATGGCTGGAGCTCTTTGATTGAATGATGTGATTAAAATGTTTAAATGCGACTGATGTTTAGTTGTAAATCCCTCTTAGCTCTACCGGGCTTCGTGAAAAGAGTAGAAAAGAGTAGAAATTGACCACATATACAGATGATATGCCAGGGGAGTTGGTCCGTGCTAGGAGAACATTTTGCTTCTCCCGAAATGTTCTCCTAGCGCGGACCAACTCCCCTGGCATATCATCTGTATATGTGGTCAATTTCAGCACCCTTCTAGCCGCTTTAAGAGGCGTAGTATAGGCTAAATCTCTCTATAAATCTGTATGATGGCCCTTTATCCCATTCTTTATGGCGAGCCCTGATGTAATGACATTGCGCCATGCTGCACGCAGCGGTAGGATGCACGCACGGCGCTTGCAATTTTATTTCCAGAACCAGGTATGCTCTCTAACACCCCCGTAAAAGTGCAGCTCCGGTCCAGCACGGTCCAGCTCCCGAGTCCGCACGGTCCCAACTCCGGGCTGGACGGTCCTGCTCCGGTCCACACTCCAGCAAAATTGTCTCAAATATGACCGAAATACATGTAGCTAGAAAATTGTTCGTTTTGCGAGACGGCATGCAAAATCGTATAGCGGACTGCAGCGTTAACATGTTCGTCCATCCTCTGACCGATTATGACGGCACAAGACCCGCTACTTTTCGACCTTACCGTCGTGCTACAAGTCAGGTAGGGAGCACTCGGGCCGCAATAATGTTTTGTGCCCATAAGCTTGATCTTGAATTTCTTTACATTCATCCGACAAAACTAGACAAGATGTGAAACTTGGCCAAATTTTGTTGAAAAATCCAAACGGTCATTTTTAGACGATTTTGCTGGAGTGCCGACCGGTCTGTGCTGAGACCGTGCGTACCTGAGCGGGGACCACCCGGCCCGGATCTACACTTATACGAGGGTGTCTAAGTCTGAAGGTGCTTCAAATAAAACTATGCTTTGTAAGTGAAAAACACATGTACAGGCCTGGTACTATATTTTAGATGATGTACGGAATTTTGCAGGTGGTGTCATTTTCTTGATGACAACTTCCCCCAGAAAATCAAATAGTCTAAATATCTCACGGAGGTCTTGAGGTATGAGATCTCCGAGCTCTTGTTACTTGTGCGTTTAAAAGATGGCGATTGTCGAATGTCGTGTAACTGATTAACCGCATGCTGTGGCCAGGAAGCTTAACGTTGAATTCGAAATGGTAGAAATGAAACAGAAAAACCGTAGATACATGTAACTGTACAACAACACATCAACACATCAACTTCTAGTGACGCTGAAGAAGAATAGTGTTTGAATAAGGTAACGCAGATATTAAAACAACCGACTGAAATTTAGTGCACCCCGTGTTCTTAAGGATGACACAGTACGCCTTTTCCGAATAATTCTATACTACAATTTAAAGCAACTAGAAGGTGCATTACTTTTAAGCATGTGTTCTTAGCCTTGCTTTACTTTTAAGTCCGTTTGACAACCTTGAAGACCGCGTCATTTACGTACCATCAGTAATGAGATAAGAGTTGGTTTTGATGCCCTTTGTCGGGTTGTTTTATGGCACAATGTTATTGATTTTGAATACTTGACTGGCACCTTTCTGAACAGTGTTAAAAGTGTTAATCAATAACTCGATCGTACAAACATGATCTTCATTCAAACGGCCAGGCCATAATGCACAAATATTGACCCTTTATCTTGTAACCATGGAGATGAGCATGACTGACAGGTTTTTGACAAACATCTTGATTGGAAGTGTGTACTTCAACCTGCGTTGCCAAATAGAAGCCATCTCCTACAGCGTCTCTGGGGTGACTCAAACTCGCCAGCAGACTTTAGACCACAAGACGGCGACAAGGTTTACTTAAGGTGCACCAAATCAGCCATGTCGCCAAAAGTGAAACTAGAAGGGTTGTTGTAGAGTGGTTATGTCAAGCGACAGATGTGTAAACCTTTTTACTATCATGTTTTTGTGTTTCTAGTGTAGTAGCAGACAACCGCCTACCAATATATATGTAATTTAAGTCGAGAAACCCTTAAATTAAAATATATTATGATAATTGTAACCTTATTTCCATAATCAATGACAAATCCGAAAAACAAACATTTACAAAAGATCTAAAAATTCATGGAGGTATGAGATATCCGAATTCTTGTTTGTATGAGTTGCTGCTGTCCTCCGTTAATCGTCTCCGTTCAACCCACAAAGTAAGTACACATCGCGCAGCTAGGAGGGGTGAAGTACAAAGGTGCAAGGATCAGCAAGACTCAGCAAGACGTGTTGTGTCCTGAATCAATTAGCAGAAGTACCGGCATTGTTTGGTGTACAACCCAAATATTGAGTCACGTATCTAGCTGTCAACAATAAAGGTTCGGTGGCTGAATTATAACAGTGGAGCAAACAACTTTATGAGAAGTGTGGAAGCTTGACCAGACGGAATCGTCAATCATTGTCAGCACATGTGGTCAAGAAGGCGAGGTGCTTGACGCATAAGATCAGACGTTCGGGCATATTTCATCTGCTAGTGCAGGCCAATCAAGTAGACCTACATCCAAATTAAACTAGTATGACTGACAAACCTTGCATTGCTGTGGTACATGCTAATTTTGCTTAGTCACATTTGAAGAGGGGAGAATTAAAATATGTTCACCTTCCTTTCCTCCATATGTGAGAATATGTCCCGTGTATGACGGAGTTGACGGCGCACTGATGCTGACACGGCCGCCGCTCCCACCCCCTCCCGTCCCGCTGCCCTGGCCTCCAGTGGCCGTAATGGCAGCGTTCCCGGTCAGCCTTGAGGTTGCCGACAGGTACACGGACCCTCCACTGCCGCCGCCGCCATTCCCACCTACGGCGTCCTGGCCGTTTGCGGATATCGGTCCGTTGACGGCGACTGTGGAGACAAGACGCTTGGCAATGTCAGACACGAGGAGGAAGTCGAACACACTTTCACATCAAAACTCCATTGATAGCTTTACACTGTGTTATTACTTTATTCTATATGATATATCCGAAATTATGGACAACATTTTAAAATATGAAAAGTCGATACCAATGTGAAGAAAGATATATTACATGGCTGTGTTCCACCGTCTACAGTTCCTCCAAGCCAATGATTGAACAGTTCCTACTTGATAGCTTGAACCCATAATTCATAGGTTCATTACGTACTGAATACAAATAGCTGCAAAGTACAATTCACAGAAAACGTGTATATGTGTAAAGGACAACTGACTTGTCTGGGCGGTGATGTGCACCACTCCTCCGCCGGCTCCCCCTTGTGCGCCCCCGCCGCCGCTCCCGGGCAGGACGGGCTCCGTGGCGCTGCCGTACGGCTGGGACTGGGAGGACGTCAGGAAGGAACCGCTGGGATGTCCGCCCCTCCCGCCATGCCCACCTGCAAGATTACGGTATACCATGATATACATACATGTATAGTGTAGTAAACTATACTATATTTTGATATTGTACAGTATATAGTATACGTATGTATAGAATCGCAATGTCAAAGAAACACATTATCAGGGAGTGGTCTACAGGGATTCGAGCAAACTTTCAAGTGATGTGTGTGTAATGTAAGGCGATAGGGTAATGTAAGGCACTATGTCTTATAGTGTTGTTGCTATTCTCTCCCTGAATAAGATATAACGTTACAGTCGCGAAAATAGCAATGATGCAGAACACGTATTACTGAGGTTGCTGAGTTTTGGGTAGGTTCGGTAGCTCAGCAGTATCTTGAGTTCATATGAGCTAAACTGGTTTGGGATCGCTTTCACTTTCACTACAACGGCTTTCGGATCATCTGTATCTGTATAGCCGGTATAACCACAATTCACCGTAACACATCATGAAGATTATAACAAATCTTCTAATAAATACAATGTACTTTCTTAATCTGTCATCGAGCAACTGTTATTTCGGCTTCGTTTGTACGTCTGTCGGGTGGTATTTTTTTGCTTTGAACGTAATAAGTTTAGTGACGCAGACTCGATCCTTGCGGAAAGTCTAAATAGTTGACTGCGCTTGAGGAAGGTGCGATGTGTTTATTTTCTTCTTGTAGACTTAGTGGCTCAGTTTGTTTAGTGTCGAAAACTTAGTGCTGTGTGCTTTTGTTTCCTATCCTCGCCTGAGGACAGTCGCAGCGAACCGTTTCAACAGACGGGTTCCTGATCCGTCATTTTTCCCCTGCTCGCAAAACGACGCCAAGGCAAGAAACAAGAAATTTGAATTGTAGATTGTATCCCAGGGTGCTCTGCACATCCTGCGTTAACTACTTTGCCAGAAACAGTGAAGTTGAAACAACCATTTCGGGTTGTTTTTCCTCACCACAATGATATATAGTGTTCGACGCGCACCATATCACTTTCACTTTCATCGTGCGCCTCCTTGGGTTTTTCAACTTAGTTTTCCCATCTAGTACGATCTCCAATATATGTATATGAATCATCTTTGCACAGGCCTACATTAAAAGTGTAATTAGAAATTTCTTGCCTGTAAGTAAACTGAGGGCATTCGCGATCGGATAGTCGCACCTGAGTCGTACAAAATCCAGATGTCTTGCTGCCGAAAAGGCTAGATCCTACGGTGGCGTAGGTTAGTTCTGTCGCAGTTTGCTTGAAAACCCTGCGACATCAAATTCGTACAACGAATGTTTACTTTCAGTAAAATCCATACTTGCAGTTCCAAAAAGCTGGAGATCTAGATCTATCTACCTTTACAAAATCACGACCACATGTCATCATGTTCTGAACGTGCTGAGATGTGAAAATGCCCGAATGAGGTCCTCAATCGACCCTGTACTTCGTATTGCCAGCAACTATATATCCAGATAATATCATACGGATTCATCTACTACTTCCCGAGCTATGCTGTACACAAACACAGACTCAAAACACATCCACAGACAGACAACATAACCAAGTCTTGGTGAAGGAGATTCATTTACGCTGGTGACGTGCGCGCAACAAAGAATCACTGCGGTTCGGTACACTTGCACCACTAATCAAAAACAAATACATTCCCGACTCTCCGATTTCCGAGGACTTGTCGCTACTTCAAGCTACGTACGTTCGACTGGACACTGTGTTGAATTCTGAGAAAAACTGCGGTAGGACAGTCCAATGTTCGATGAACTATTTTTTGAGTGGGCGTAACACCGGAACACTCTGTACTATTTTCAAGAACACAAGTGAACTTTTGTAACTCTACGGCACACATGTTACTTTGTCGTTCTCCCCTTCTGAAGATAACAAAGTTACGTGTCAACTGGTGTGTATTTTCAGCTTGCTTGTTTACAATCACACCAGTCCACCACACCACACAAGTCGCTATAGCAAACAACTTGTACTAGCGGTGCGACATGGTATCTGTACAAGCACAACATTCTGTTTTCCGCCCAACGCTCAAGTATTGTAAGTATACACCTGTATTGTGGACGCCGCCGGGCAAACTGATAATCAAAACACATAACTTCGACAAATCATTCGCTCGAACAGGTCCGGACTGGCAAGGTTGTTGATACTGTTCTACCTGAGTGCTTTCCGAGTTGATATGTACACAAGCGCGAGCACAACGGCATCTCTTACACTCTGATTGCTAGGATTACCGATTAAACAAGTACAGTATTCATGACGAAACCTAAATGTAAAAGTTTTAACTGTAGACACTAGCGTTGTCCGCACGTCGAACGATGTTGAACACGAATATTAAATTAAGAGATTCATTGTCGGAAGACCCGCCCTTCCTGTCCAACACACAAAATGTACCTGTGGAACTGATCTTAATCAGAAGGTCAAAGTTCTCCAGTACGTTCACACCTGAAGCCACAGTTTGGCTAAGAAAATACATATATGAGTTGTGTCCTTTATATCATTTACATTTTTATATACTGCAACACAACTACGCCGTAACGGCTATAAAAGGTCTGTAAAAGGTCTAACTAGCCTAACCATGCATGTGTAGGATTAGTGCAATCTGTCTTTCTGTAAAGCCAATGTTCACTGGATCATACTACCTATGTAGGCCAGTAAGCCTGCAGCTGATATAACCCCTTCCTCGAGGTGATTTAAAACAGCATCATTCCAGTGATGTATAAGCTCTTTTGATGATCTCCAGGGCAACGCCCGCAAACAAACGAGGTGCAATCCTTCAAGCGTTCAACAAGAGCAAGGGGAGGTCACGTAGTGCATATTTGCGATCTCGTTGGCATAATATCAACGGATTTCGCAATCGCCCAAGGCATGCACATGAACTGGCTACGACATTTCCTGACAGGCAGACATGACTGGTATCACGTTCTCTATCGGTTAGCGACAATCATGGCAGTAATGCAGTCATACCAGGATCATACAAATGGCACTTATATCATAGTAAATCTTCACAACTAAACACTGTACAAACACATACATATCTGCAAATTACTTGATGGTAGTTTAATCGGCGTCTCTAACACTCTAATTGCTCAGTGGTTGAGGGTTTCCCCTTGATATATCGGAAAAGCCCAGGTGGTTAACCTTCGAGAACGTTGCAAGGAAATCGGATATACGTGTTGTTTTATGCGCGAACTCACCCATTAGAATATCTTAAACATGACCGAACGTAACCCCACAACAAGCTGACGTCACATCCTCTTATACAATGTACTACATAAAGGTATAAATAAAGGAACTTAAACTCTGCGCATTGCACTGTTTAATTATCTTCATGAACTGCATTACCAATATACCAATAATACCAATATACCAATCTTTAATCTACGTGGTTCAATTCAGTTGAAAATATTTCAGTGTATCAGTGTTTCGTATTCCATAACTGACTTCTGTGCATCTACATTTACGAAAAAAAGACGTTGAATTGAAGTTAAGAGTTTCTAAAGAACATTTCACCAGCAAGTTCGTTTATGTTGTATCAACAGTGACGTGTTCGTAAGTTGACTTTACGTCTTGGCTGGTTGGTTCTCAGTGATGACTTAAGTTTCACAGTGGACCGGATTTTAACGAGTCCCCGAGTTGAACAACAAAACTGGTCAAGTTTACAAACTCTGTGCCTGTATACAATAAACAAATGTTGGTGGGAACATGGCGGACCCGCGGGTGGGAAAACATAAAGTTGGCGCAGACTTTGTAACTGTCACCTCTGCACAGACTGCTGGTATCTCACTCAAGATACAGCCTTGATTACAACTTCTGAGAACATATTCTATCTGACGTTTCTACAAAATATGTCGCATATATGTTCAGTTTACATTCCTTTCATCAGTATATGTACATATGAGGTATTTCATGTAAGGAATTCTTACTAATTGGATTGGTTTGTACCTGGATGCATATAGAATAGCTAGACATAAACTACAATAAGCTAAATTACTAGGTAAATATATCATGAGTGAGTGCTCACCTCCAGATGTACCGCTCCCCGCCCCCGGTCCGGAGTCGTGGATGTACCCCCGCCCGTCACTGCTAATCCGTCCCGAAGACCTGACATCCAAGGTGTTAGCCACGGTGATCCTCACGATACTTGGCTCCGCCGTTTCCAACACCAGTGTACCATAAACGGTGAGGCCCGAGAAGCTGTAGTCGCCGGGGGACAAGGTGCATGTTTCTCCCGTCTGGATGTTGACCGTAGCCCCTGAACTCCCCGCGGTGGGACAGGCCGAAAAGGCCCGTCCCGCTAAACAACTCAAGAAGAAGAGAATCAACATCGCTCTTCGCAATCCACACGATTCGGTGTTGTGTGCATTGCCAAGCTCTTCAGAAGTCCCCCAAAGTTCCGTGTCTGCTCAACTAGCGTGGCACAGAACGCCAACACTGTAGCTCCTTGGAGAGAAGGATGGTCTACTTCCTCCTAGATCCTAAAACCAGGTTTGCACCGGAGGGCTCAGTCCGCAAACTTCGCGGATACAATTTGCTGTCAACCTGCCTCCAAGGCAAACTGTCCCTGTAATGTCTTAACTCGCGGCTGTCAAAAAAGACGGCCGCACATTTCCCAGAGACGTGTCGGATCTGTTCACGTGCTTACGCGAACATAGTCACTTCCTGACAAGCTGAGCTCAACTGTCAGTGTGAGTCCAACGCGCATGGAACTGCTGCACAACAGGTGGTCAACAACAGTCCACCTGCGCAAGTGTACAAGTCACCGCGTGGCTACGTTCTTTTAAGGGTCATGTCGGAACTTTTGAAGCAGACACAACGGGGGTGGGTAGGCCCCTTCCAGTGGCCCAAATAACCACACATCCTATTTCCTGTGATGATACGCCCTGTGTGTTATGTGTAATAGCGTTATGAATACTGTTAAAATGCCCTGTATATCATCTGTGACTGAACAAACACCCTTGCAAACAAAAAAACACATGCCCCTTGGAAAATGGATCTGTCCGGCCGTATGCTAATTAGCCATAATAGATTGAACCTTGCACCCGCCCACTCTGTCAAATAAACTCGACGGTCTAGAAAGTGTTGAAAAAAGAAAACAGGCAAACATGTGACATGGGTCAAAGTTTACTTTGTCCAAAATACACGCTAGCAAAAACCTCAAAATAAACAAGTAGAAACATGCCTCGTGTCTAAAATGTCCTCCATGTTTGATGTTTATTCGGAAAAAGACAGAATCCAAGGCGGCATTTGAAAGTTACAGATTGTCCATATTCTTCCCGGAAAAAACAACTCTAAACTCTGACGAATTTTTTTGGCAGAATATTTGAGAGTGCAGGTAAGCAGCAGAACCGGGGCGGGGGTTGGACGGGCGGAAAGTGGGTTTGTACTGAGACGTGACCTCATTGGCCAGAGCTAGAGAGGCAAAGACTAAGATAACTTATATACTACTGCACTACCGAAATGTGCCAAAGTTTGCAATGACAGTATGGGAGATGACCAAAGGTACAGGGCTGCATGGGGTAGATGAGACACACATGGACACAACGACACAGAGAGACAGACACACACACACGCGCGCACGCGCGCACCTACACATACGCACTCCAACACACACGCACCAAAACCGTCACTCTCTGTCATGTACCCGCGCGCGCGCGCGCACACACACACACACACACATGTACACACACACACACACACACACACACACACACACACACACACACACACACACACACACATGACCTATATAAACAGCTGCATAGAGAATCATTATCACATGCGGACGATCATCGGGCCATATAGAATACATTACATTCAACCAACAAAACATGACGATGCAAACTGTAATCTGCAGACTGTCAGGCAATACGCATCAAAAGCGCACCTACCGGTATGAAAATCAACTTCACCCAGCAGAGTTCTGTACAAGATTTCCATGACCTGGCCAATGACCTGATTTGTTGACATCTCTCACCATGGTAACTGGTGTTGGGTTTCATAATGTTGCAATTGTACAGTAGGAGGGATTTATACTCCTGTCTGACCATATATATGAATGTATTTCTGTATCTGTATCTGTATAGCCGGTATAACCGCCTTTCGGCGTAACACACCAGCTAAAATAATTTATTTGAGTAAGAATTAACAGAGCAGACCATATGAGAAGGTAAACATTAACGTAAGCCGCGTGAACTAAGTTTCAGAGATTAGGAAAATAAACGTATTTGAGCAATGAGACGCCTTTGCAGACTTTTAGCCTTAAAAGCATACAAAACAGGCCGGTGGGTGATATGATATGACCGTGAGTTAATTATTTTGGAAATACGCACCCACTGTACAGCCAGGAAAGCGGTTGGGCTGATTTACATTTTAATGTCGAAGTTTCAACAGGTGGGATTGTCCAGCTCATCCACATTCCACAACAAAAGAGTGTTGTTACGTCTTGGGGTGGGAGGGGGTTCAGTTTGACGTTTATCTGAGGGACAGAGAGGCGAGAGAATGGCGAGGAAACGGAGATACGAGTTGTCGGTGCACGTGAGTATTTTGGTCTTCCTTGTTGCTCCATAACAGAAACGACTAATGTTAGTAACACGTTAAACGACTTATCATTCTTTCATTTTCTATATACTCTCACAACAGAGGTGGGGACGTCTCTCCCAGAGAGTCGGTGCCGATATTTTCACTCGGGCGCCACTCTACATTGCCCTATCATTTGGAGAGAAGTAACTAAGATAGCAGTTTTGCACTTAAAATGTTATAAATTCGATTCTCTCCGTGCCTGACCCCGTGTGTCTTGACTATATCTTGAATTGACAGAGCATTTGAGAAGGGTGCGCTCGAATCCTTCACCACGTACGTAACGATACACAATGAACTTAAGTTGCTTGTTGAATGGATTTCCTCAGGTGGAAGACGGGAGTCCTATGGACACACAGGTGCTTTCAGTCTTCCCTGAACTGGACACGAGGACCAAGAAGCATCTGAAGGAAGTGGCGTTCAGCCTTGTTTACGCCCTTGCCGTGATGCTGGTGGCCTACCTGCAGCGGGACTGGCTGAGTTTCTACCAGAGGGAGGCGGTGGAACAGCTGGTGGTCAGGCGACGCTCTCTCGCCGTCAAACCGTTCTCATACGTAAGTAATTCTGGATCTTTCTCAAAAATCTGTAATGATATTGTAGGGAAAAGTACGGAAGTGAAGTTCTTGTTGTCCATTTCTTATTCCTCGAAACAGATCAAGACGTCATCTTCCTTCTGGACCTGGACCGAGACTCATCTGATGGATGCTCTATATGACGATGGGAACGAGAACCCCCTCCAGAGCCACTCGTTCTACCAGGTGCAGTGGTCGAAACTCAGACAAGAGCGAGTATCAAAAGGTAGATCCATTCTTTATATTAAGTTTGTTTGCATGGCCTAGAAAATGTTATTTACACCCCCCTTCCCGTTTATGCCATGTTATGTGGCATACAAGTTCAGTACGTGTATGCAATATCGGAAATTCACTGTTCTCCCTTAATTTTGTAAACGAAATAATTGACGATGATTGTGAGAATGTCCCACGGATTATCAACACATGCTTTTCTGCAGATGTACCTTTCACAATCCCCAATGACGTCCTATCGAGTACGTTCGGTCACTGCAAGGAGCCGTTCAGTTCTTACAACAAAGACTGGCGGGACTACGGAGTCGGGTGGACCCCGAGAAATGACACCGGCCAGAACGTCACAGACCCCGCACTGTTAGCCTGGACCCATAGGACGGCGGAAGAACTTCGAGGTCTGTCATTGTTCTGACTGTAAACTTCTCAACTTTCACCTGGGTTTTATTTCTTTAATTGTCCATGGCTCTCTTTACCAGGCAGGTTTATCTTACATCTTATATTTGAAGTAATTACAACAGCAGTATGTCCGTCAAAATAAATAATTTTGCCACATCTTAACCCCAGAGGCGTCGTTTCACGGGATACACGGAGTTTATCACGGTGGTGGTTACCAGGTGGAGCTCAGCAGGAACCGAACCAAGACCGTCGCCATCCTCCGGGATCTCCGAAGTAACGACTGGATTGACGAGAAAACCCGAGCGGTGTTCGTGCAGCTGACCCTGTACAACCCGAACTCCAACCTGCTGACGACAGTGCTGTTGTCGGTGGAGTTCAGCGTGATCGGAGCCGCTTTCCCTACGCACGAAGTCCTGGTCTTTCCGCCGTACTTCGGCATCGTGGACCTTCCCGTGTCCTTCCTGGCGTCCGAGATCTTCCTGCTCCTCCTGTCTGGGTACTTCGTGTATGTTGAAGGTAAGGGTTTGATCATGAAGTTATTGCTGCTGTCGTTGTTGCTGTCGATGATGCAACTGAATACTTCTGTACACCATGTAGAGAAATTCATGCCTCAGTGTTAGTACATGTATCTGCGTAAGATGCCATATCCGTTTACAGGTTGGAGGATGTACAAGATGTCCTTCCAGTACTTCAAAGATTTCTGGCACATTCTGGATTCTGTAATCATTGCAGAGGCCTTTGGTACCTTTGGGGTCTTCTTCTACACCCAGTACGTCGCCGACGTCATCTACCATCAGATGGATGCAGTAGACGAAGAAGGCGCATGGGGGAGCTTCGTCAACTACAGGAAGGTGGCTATTTGGTCTCAGACGTACACGTACATGCTGGGTATCCTGATCTCCCTGATCACGGTCAAACTTCTCCATGTTCTAGGCTCCATTGTCAACGGCGTCACGTTCTTGTCGGCTACAATGTGCGAGGCCGCCGCGTCCCTGTCCGGATTCAGTGTCATCTTCCTTATCTGTGTGGCGGCCTTTGCACAAATGGTGTATCTAGTCGTGGGAAACCACCTCTTCACGTACAGCACCTTCGTCGGCACCTTGCAAGAGATGTTGAACTGGATGCTGGGAGATTTCGATTACGATCTGGTGACCGACGTTTCGCCTCATCTCGGCCCAGCGATGGTTTTCCTGTTCAACATCTCTTTCCAGCTGTTCCTGATGATGGTGTTCGCCACGATCCTGTGCGAGGCCCTGGCGCTGATCCGTGTGCAGACCGAGGAGGAGCCCAGACGGGATGACCTCCCTCCTACCCTACAGACCATCGTCATGGAGGGGACCAAGTCCCTGCGCATGCGCTACCAGCAGGCGAAAGCAGCCAGGAAGTACAGGGATGTGGTTGTGTACGAGTTCGAGACCACGGATGCCACCGGAATAGAACTGCTATGTTTTGAACAGTCCTTCGAAGACCGCAATGGCGCAGATGTGACCGGCCTCTGGTTGACTGGCGGGGCAGGAAAAATGTAATTTGTCCCTGAATATGTATATCAGATCTTCGTAAGTCGGGACAAGAATAAGAATAAGAAGGATACGACTATATTGTCAGTCACGTTGTTGTTGGAAATAATGAGAATATTAACGTTACATATTTTGGAGAAATACATACATGATTATACAAGTCTCTTGTGCATACATCTTATCATGCGCTCCATGTTTAATGTTTCCTCCATACCTCCGTACAGTAGCGCGTCCTTACACGTCTAGTTTCTGATGCTGGGGAATGTCTCTCTTGATTTCTGCAAAACTTATGGTTCAAATGAGTTCACAACACATAAAACTGGAGGTGACGGAAAACATCCTTATAAATTAGTCCATGCATTCTCCATAAGCATCCTCCTAGATGTAAATGAATCCCTTCGACGTGCAAGAAGCCGTGAGCAACGTCACTGTCACCCTGCATTGCCAAGCGCCTCCTGGCGAAACCATGTTGAGACGCAGATTTATTAAAAAGTCTTGAATAGTAAAACCCTCATATGACGGGCAGCAATATTTCACTGATAATCAACTTAAACCTTGATTGAAATTGTTTTGGATACCATATATGTCAGGAACCTTAAATTTGATCAGACCTTTTTAAATGGATACCATTATTTTTTGTGTTCCAGGCGCCACCTTCTTTCATTTTGATTTTTCTAAGGTATCAAACATATATGTGTGTAAAAAGAGGCCGTTTAAAAAAGTACACAATGTAACGTTTTGGCCGATTTCACCGTTTTCGGTCCAGAAATAGTTCACTACTATGATAGCACATACCAAAGCGGCCCACTTGAAAGTGAAAATTTCACAATTCGTGTGATCTGCTCCTAGACATGCTACCTTGGTCTCCTGTATCAAGCATGAGGGTGTCAATATCCTTTCAAGAATCTAACTCGAGCTGCCGCAGTGTGCCAACATGGCGGCACGACACAATCAACTGTTTGTGCCGCCCATTATCGCGTCTCGGAACTCCTTTAATCACCCTTTTCACTCTTCTACAACAGTCCGAGTGAAACTTTATTTAGACATACCTTATCGCGGAAAAGCTTATTGTTGCGAGTCCTCCCGTAGCGTGCCATTAAGGGAGGCTTGTTTGAGTAGGACGGGAGCGTGTATGTACCGCCATTGGGACCATTTCGTGCGTGTAGAGTGCAATTCGGCCGGTGAGAAAAGGTGTTCTGTTATGCCGCGTTCTCTAAAGCTGTCGCGTGTTAACCGCGCGCTTGTAGGTCACGCCAAATGCTAAGTATCGTCTGACCCTAATTATCTGAGTAGGCGCTTTCCTGGGTAACTACCGGAGACTTGCTGCTCACTGCCTCCCCCTCACCGTCCTGACTCGGTACCTGCCCTACCCCCTAAACCCCGCGGGCCCTACTCATTATTTCCCCCCTTCCTGCCACCCAAACCTTCCCAACTCGATACTTCCCCAACCCTGGGGTCCGCCTGGATACAACCCCCTCCCAACCAAACGGAGGTGCCGGGTACGACGACTCAGTCCAAAACACAAGTCTTTGTAACTCATGGTGTCCCTCGGCACAGCCGGACAACATCTAAACCATGATGCGCAGCTCTTCGTCTGTAGAACAGAGCTAAGTACAACGACACAGAAGTTACACCGGAAGTAGCAATGTTCACACGGCGCGTTTTTACATGGGAAATTGCAGGTAAAAGAAAACCAGCCCTTAAATCTCCGTATGCGGTTTAAGATGCTATTTATCCTGTGTCTTATCCAGCCTTTCCTGGTAACGCAGGTGTCTGTGTTGGAGATTTGGCAGCCATTAGCGTATTGTCAGGTGATCCGATTACCCCGGTAAGACGGTGATGGATTCGTTTCCACACCTCATCTCCGACAAAGTTTACACATGTTCCGGTCCGTGGCGCTGGGAGCGGCCAACTCTCTCAGGGGACGCGACATGCCTCCACGTACCGCCCGACATTACACCCACCAGTGGGACAGGGTTCGATTCCCGGTCGCGCCATGCCTCTTCTCTGTATTGTAAATTCATTTGGAGCTTTGGGCCCAAAATGCCGTTATACAGTCCTTCTTTGAGTTGAAGTAACATATTATAGCCCGATAATATCTATCTCCAATCATGTTCAATTATATCAGAAGCATCTCTGTAAAATCCAGTAGCCCCTACAATGGGACATTTTTTTACTTAACATTTGGGAACATTTCCTTAAACAACCATTGTATATTGTGGGTTCATGTATACGATTATACCTCGTAAGGTCAGTAAAATGACCTTCACCCCACCACACAATGAAAACAATGGATCATTCGCTCGTCAAATGTTGTTTTTCTAGTCTTAATTGGAATAGCTCTAATCAATTCTGACATAATGGTTCAAAAACTTCTCAGCTTACTTAGACCTGAAAACTTGGCCTCTGGTAACTCCCTCCCCCCCCACTATCACAGACATGAACCTACAGAACTATAATCAACAGGAATGCTATTCTTGCACAAATCTCTCCAGCGAGCTCCAAGGTACCGAAGTTCAAGGACTATTTCACTTGCCTGTGCTGTAACGAGTGTGTAAGTGTTTCCGTCCAGAAACTATTAATCAAAACTTTCAGTAGTCTCCTTGGAATGATTAATGTCGCTTATCAATTGCAACATGGACAATCTGAAGGACAGGATATCAGGCCAGAGAGCCTCCGTCCGGGTAAACCAATTAGGGATAAAATTTACAAAGGTCTCTGTGTTCGCATAGATTCTTTTCTTTTAACCTTTAAGTTCTAGAAAACATTTTTTGTAAGTATACGTATAAATGAAATGTATGTGTAGAAAACAATTTTAATCGAAAAGTTTAATGTCCGATGCACACTTGTTACATTTTACTTACCTTGCGCCCTCCTCTTAATTATAATGAGATAAAGGGCTGGCCTAGGTGTACTTCAACGAGTCATCTTGTATATATTTGTATATTGAAATAAAGATGATTTTAACCCCCCCTATTGATATTTCATACACATCTACGTGGTGCGAATAAACCCGTTTCTGCTAGCTGAATGCAATGTCTGATTAACGTTGATATTCTGCACATCTAGAAACTCTGTTATTTCTAAATAAATGTTTGAGAAATAAATGAGTGCACTCCTACAGAGTGTATCAAATTATCTTTGTCTAATCAAACTGCGGAACACAATTTTGAAACGTTAACGTCCAAGACAGTATCATGTCCCTTGACATTGCAATTGTGTTTTTATAAATGGTTACTAATGCGATAAGAGAAAATACAGTGCATGATGTTGAGTAAAAGAGAAAGTTTCATCACTGTATCCTCTGAAAAAGGGATGACATGGACACTTGGCGACAGACAAAAATAGATGTAGTAAAACGGCAATAATGGAACAATGCTATCTATGAAAATTTGCTAAGGTAACAGATAATTGCCACGTGTGTCTCAATAATGCAATGCTGGGTTCACATTCCTGCTGTATCTGTGAGCATCAGTAGGAGTCAGTACAACGGGAACTGCACTTCTGGGGTGGTCTCGGTCTTCGTTATTATGAAGCTCTAATTTGGATTAATATGGTGTTGCTTAGAGTTAGAAAATTCTATGTAAAAAATAAATTATTCATGAGGAAACTATTTCGCCACCAGTTTTTCTTTCTGAGATTATATTATGTCACTCTGGAATGTTAATGTTTCATTTTCAACACAAGGCAAGAGAATTTACAACCAGGAAAAATACTATCTGTTTGTGCACTAGAACAACAATGAATTTTTGAGCGATTTGTAACAGTGATGATATTGTAACAGCTTTTATACCGACAGCCCTATTATGATTGCTAGGAAATACAGCAGAACGGATGAGATTTATAAACCAATAACAACTTTAATTTTTACGTTTTGGAAATAACGAATGTGTGCTTGCGACAAGACTGTTGTTTTCAATATCCTGGCATTTTATGTTTTTTTTACTGATCTGAGCGTGTATTCTCAGGCCTGATACATGCACGTCGACTTGATCAACCACAGAGTAAAGGTTTGAGCATATTTCATGTTGTAGAATAAAGTACAGCCACGCTTCCCTGTCGAACCGTGGGTCGTCCGTCGGAGACGTTGACTCAACATTGGAACAAAGGCCCCCTATGTTCAACTCACAATATCGCCTCACGCTGATAGACAATACTCCATCCGTAGAGATTACATGATAAATAGGTTTACTCAAGACACCGAAGACGTGATGAAAGACATGGGTGGCCATGACCGTGGTTCCCATGGCAAAAAGAAAACCTAAATACTAAAATACAAGCTTTGAAATGTTGGGTTTAACGTAGTAATTATTATTAGACAATTAACATTAAGGAGATCGACAGAAGTGTACATTTAGATGGGAGAAAATCAGATTTGAAGCCCCGATTTAGTTAGTTCGTCAAGAAAGTAAGGAATGGGATGACGACATGCATTCTTTAATGCTATGCAAACTTCAATGAGTTGTCATGCCTCAACCAACATCAATTGCTCTACCCCGCTTTGATCTTAAAACGTACCTGACGACTTAAGCTAGAAATTTGAGAGACGGGACGCCTTTTCTATGCCTAGGACTGTTAAAAGTTTAAGACTTTTCGGTATTTCTTTTTTCTTTCCATTTGGCACAGCTCACAAAGAGGGAGAGAAGGATAGTTTGGACACATTTCTCCACGAAAAGGGGCAGGTAGAATTTCATGTCTCCTTGTCAGTCCCAAGGTTTTTTTCAGTCTCAAATAGTGTACTCCACACATAGTGACTAGATATTAAAGGTATGTCTTATTTGGGGTTTTGGAAAGTATTTTGACATTACATCTCATGAACTTCATTTTGGGAAACGTATTTTAGACGGCACATGTACTTCTGTCCTCTATTCTCAATGTAAAATTTGCTTATTTGGTTATAGTGTGCATATAATTACGGACTTGGTAACCACCAGCTTTTCTTCTGTTTATCTAAGCCATCTGTAGGTACCCCAGTGTGCACTTCATGAGTTTCACTAAAGCCCGGATATTGTTCTTCAACAGGAATGCTGTATCCTGTCAAAGAACATATAATTACTGATAGTAGCTTCGACGCAGCACTCTTTGTGAGACAAACGTGCCACAATGTTTATCTTGTTGGTAATTTTGATAACTTTGTCACCGCACCATGAAGTATATGTGTAAAGTATTACTTGAAAGAGAAGGTGACATGTAAATGACTGGTCTGGGTTTGACGTGGAAAATCTAACGTCTCGTTTAATTGATTCCGACGTCTGTAGAACATAATAGTATTGGCGGGAGTCTTCGCGCGTGTGACATTCAGTCGTCTCACAGTGCCCCACCACTTGCCCTTTTGGGAAAATGTAATAATGATGCCAACCACACAGACAGTAGGTGTCGGGGTGAGCTGTGTGTAGGTAAGGGTTCCGCCTGCTAGTCCGCTGAAAGATGTCTGGAACGAACACAACTTGGAAAGCCTTGTGCAAGAATCGTTCTTGAAGTACAAATGCAATATGTAAATAAATGCTAACTACGAAAATGCAGAATTATGACTTCACCAGTTAGGCTATGGTCTGGGAAACAACCAAAGTCAAGGCACAGAGAGACTTGAATTATATCGCAGAGTTGCTTTTCTATTCTTGTCCGTGTATTCTAAAAGTTGCTTTAAGTAAAGTGTAAAATGCCAACCCACTTCAATCAAGAAGAAATTGAATGGTCCAAAAACACGGATTTGCACCGTTCTGTATGTTGCTGTCGGAATGGTCACACGTCAGAGACTAAGATTCTGCACTTGGACACTCTCTCACTTCGACCTGTACTCTCACTCCGACCTGTACTCTCTCACTCCGACCTGTACTCTCTCACTCCGACCTGTACTCTCTCACGGTGGAATGTGACCAGCAAACCTCGCGTCTCGTGCTAAAGTTGTGTTTCTGCGATGTCCACAGCTCGACAACAGGATGTTGTTGATGATATATGTCTCACCTATCACCCCTCCTTCCTTCTAGCGTTACAGTTGGCGTTCAAATCAGCGTTGTAATCTTGACATGGGGATACAACTACACAGGAAAAACAGATAAGGGCTCTGCCTGGGTTTACACTACTTGAGATGATCATTTGGTCGTGTTTGTCTCGACACTTGGGGTGCGCTTCTACCGGGTTTGATTGACAGTGCTGAAAGGCTGGACCCTCCCCCACGTCAGGCCAGTTTTCCCCCTTGCCATGTCTTGGGAGGTTTGGATAGCTTGGCGCGCCCCGAAACGTGTGCGTTATGGGTTTGTACGGATTAATTTATGTCACGGGTGCTGACCGCCTAACTGCGCGGAAAGGCCTCCACTGTTGACGGAAGGATATAGCGCTACAAAGTACATACGTACTTCTTCTGGGTGAACTTCGGATGCTCTGGCGTCGGTTCTTCAGACCTTGATTAAAATTATTTGTCGTTAATTTACAAAATGTTGAGAACTTTCTAACTTCAGGCACGATAATATCCCGGCACGCGCAGTCGTATCATTGTCCAGTTACTGAACAACGTACTGTGCTACTTGTATGAACCGAGATGCCAATGGGAAATTTCTTAAACAAGTATTGCACCAAAATTTATAAGGCAGACCCTTCCCATTTAGTGCTTGAAAGGTACAGTACAATTAAAACCATACTGGTTGCTGTGTGAACTTTTACTTCAAAAGTATGCCTCAAAAATGACATATTCTTCTTGACGATTCCATGATAGAATCCCTCTTGGCCTACTGGAACCACTGACCACTAAAACGTGAATTGGCGTGGAATGTCCGCGGTCGCACGGTTCTATCACTGGCCGTTACATCTGGACACTTCATCCGATGAGTGATCGAGTGCTGTAAGAGAGCCAGTCTTGTTCCACAGCCAGCAGGACATAAATCTGTATAAAATTCACTTTCACCAGACAGCTTCGCTAAGGGCCTCCAAACCGTGACGACCTCAGGCTCTCAGGTGCAGAAAGAATTCCGTAAGACCATCCATCGTGTGGTCCAGAAGTTCAACGACTCCTGCACAGCTCACCCCTTTCTACTACAGGCCGGCGGCCGCTGGACGACCAAAAATTTGACAGATTTTATAACAAGTTTTGTGTCTTAGGCTGTACTTTAAATGATATAATATCATAGTTTAACATCGTGCATCATATTACAAAATCAATGGTCATACAAATGGTCAAAAGTTTGGTAGCTCGGCCGTCGCCGTCTAGTGGAATGGAGGCATTACCAGTAAATTCAAACAAATGTTTACTCACTATTTTGTGTATGAGCGGGCAAGTCGACCATCAACTTTTGCACTAAACAGATCTTTCAGACACTTCCAGGTTTGACTCGCTGAGTCGTCTGTTTCTATGGGACGAGCATACCCTTGTATGAACAGTCAAGCATGTGCAAGTGACATAAGGACTATCTGGTCAATGTGATCACTTCTTTGTGTTCCCTTAGATAATTTTCCCCATTGACACATTACGAATCCCATCTATAGTGGTCACCTGTTCACAAAGACCAGATTTTGTCAGTCCCCTGAGTGACCGTCTTGTGCAGTTTGACTGTACATGTGTTGAGACAGGAAGACAATCTAACTAGGGCATTTCTCAGGGACGCGCTCGCGGGCCGTAGGAGGTTCCGTGGCGCACCAAGTGTGCTAGCGGAGACCGCGGCACGGGGATGGCGACTTATCAATATCATCGACTCGTGGCTGATTTGTGTGTTCTAGACTTTAAGTGGCGCTGATCTGGTGAAGTGTGCTCGATTAAGTCAGAAGGACAACAAACACTTGACTTGTCTTCATAACTCAATGGACGACGGTCGCTCTTCCGTTTGTTTCTCTTACCAAGGTGTCCCATGTGGTCCTCTCGTGGCCTGTGTATTCAACTGTCCTTGGGACGTGACGAGGGTGGGAACTAAGGTGGGCGGGTTTTCTTTTTTTCCGAGTACACCTTCATACAATTGCGCCTGTTCTCTTCGGTATTAAAAGGTATGGATTTAATAAAAACCAAACGGTTTTACGGAAACCTATGCTGCCAAAGGAAACAATTAACGACTGCGATTTGTTGGTGGGGTGTTGGGTTGAATGACATAGCGCAAATTATGTCCGAACGACTGGACTGTGCTTTCAATTAAAAGAGTAATCGGCATCCTTCCACCACTGTGAAGATTAATGTGCGAAAACCTCATGTGATCTAATTCATGGACGGCTGAGGCAAGGGTCGCAAAACGTGACGTGCTTTCTGCTCGACTTTCCACGCCTGTCATTTCGTGAGCAGGACCTCCGAGCCAGCGAAGGTCGCTCCCAACTTAACCGCGGCTCCGGCTTTTCCGTTCCCTCTTCTACAGGAATGTAACCACTGGCTACATTACAGCTGTACGTGCAAAAACATTAGTTCACATCTTACCCGGCCCTTACAGAGAGGAGATGGAGTTTCTAAACATGTGCAATTTTTTCCGGAATGACGCAAGAAACAAGGATGTGGTATCAAACAATTTATGAAATATGATTAACGTTTCATAAGTACTCACGAACAAACAATGAGCGCTGTACAGAGTCATTGAAGTGTGTGACTTCTTAAAACAGTATCATGTAGAACATTGAACTTTGAAAGCGTAGAAATCTAGTTCTATGTGTCATTGATTATGTATTAGAAAATTAAACGCACATCTTCTGAAGCACAATGTTTTACTACAAAGTTCATTTGGAAGACTTCAAGTCGTGAGCAGAGGCAAAAGTTTTGTACAATTATGAATGCGTCAGATTGAAAATAACTTACGTTAAGATTTCTCCATATGGTTTCTTTACAGATATATATACAATAGTCTGGCAGATCCGTTTATTTGCAATCAAAAACTGGCCAAGATCATTCAGTCTTTTTACGATGGTTTGATGAGCGTCACATCCGGTTTCCAACCTCCCAGAATGCTCCGCGTCCTTCATCCTTAGAGAAGACGTTTTACTTTCATACTCCTTCAAGAATAGAACTAATTGAATCAGTTGTCTGTCAATGATGTAACTTAGGAAGTTGAGTTCATAGTCCAGTAGAAACACACGTGTTAGTTGATATGTACAAAGGAACGGTCTGTGCTAGTGGGATTGTGCTGCATGGATGGGGCATTGCTCGTCTTCGGAAGAATTGAGACACTCTCTGACGTCCAGCCCTCCGGAGCACTCCTCGGGCTCCCTGCCCTCCGCTAGCGCCGCCGCGTTCTCCATGGCGCCGATGTACAGTCGTGATCTCATCGGCCATTTCTGCAGAACAACAAACAACAAGCAATCAGAGATCGCAGACTTCACCCCCTTACCCACAGTTCTTTGCGACCTCTCCAGTCCCACAGTAAAAGAAAACTAGCAGCACTAATGATCTGTGCCAATGCTGCGTTTTAGAGAGCTTTTTTTAAACATGAATTGTGCTGGCATGAGTTTCATGAGATAGTTTGATTCGAATGAGTTATCAATGGCTTTCTATGAAGTTTTGGGTCGTAGCCTTCGAAGGTGTTAGCAAAGTCGAAAGTCTAAAAATAATTTCCTTTCAAACTGCAAATGCTTGCTTCTTTGGATACAGCATCATTCAAAAAGTTGGTAAAGGACTTTACTGGGTATTAGCTCATTTTGGCAGCTTTATCTAAACAATTTTAAGACAAGGGTGATCTTTGAATGCCGTTCCTAATTTTCCTGATTTTCGCCTTTATCATGTCTTCTTGTGTTTATTTGACATGTCCCCGAATGTATACTCAGATTAATCAATTTTACATGTGACCATTCATTGATATGGTTGACCGTATTAGGCTATGTTCTAGTACATTCTTTTACAGTGTGTAAACGCAAGTATGTCATTATCTCATCCAACTACCTGTTCCCCATGCTTGTGATGTTGACATTCGATCCGTTTGTTTTTACCACATGATCTCGAAAACACCGTTTCCGTAGCAGTTCGCAGTAACTGTCACCTGTACCCCTGTTTTTGCTACTTTCTACAGTCACCCCGAATGCATAACCTTCTGGCGAAGGCAATTATGGTGTGGCTATTTGAAATGGTTTGTGTTCAGAGGCCACAGCCATGTATCCTCGACCTCAAACGAGGTCGTGAGTCTACAAAGGCCCTGTCACATCAGCCGTATGACAGATCCATGTCCGGAAACCGGGGACAATATTCTTCGGACGGACATACAGAATTCAGGTGTGAGGGAAAAGGTTGTAGATCCTTGTCGTCAGCTGTGTCTGCCGTGATATTTGTTGGTCTGAATCATCTTGACGACAAAAATATCGTACGTCGAATTTGACTGGATTGAAGTTAGGTACAATAGTACTTCTGTATACAGCTTGTCTTGACCATTGTGACTCTGTACATGAACAGACTTGAGTATTTCTAAGCTGTCTATAGAGCCAACACCAGCAGAGTCACGTACATGTCCTTTGTGTGGTTACTACCAGTTCTCTCGGAGCGACTGGTTCATGTTTACAGGGTTACCCTCACAACAGGAAGGGGAAAGATGACAAATCACACCGGACAATAAGGACGCCAAATATAGAACATGTCAGTAAATGTTTGCAACTGCCGTGGTGTGTGCCGAACTTGTAGTACAGCTCATCTCGACCGTTTAAAGTAAAGAAATCGAAAGCAATCGAAATATTTCAGTAGATGAAAACACGAACGGGACGTGATTGAACACTTAGTACATTGTACATACTCGCCTTCACAATCTCCGAAAATGATGGCCACGCGTATTCAAACTGCCGCATTCATTCAGGGACAAATCAAAACATCTAATTAATCCCCCTATAACGACAGACGTGTAGTATGTTAGTGTAGCTGCAGTAGCACGACATGTAAGGCCCTTGACTTGAACAGAGACTTTCCGAAGGCCTCGGTGCCTCTCAGAGAGGTCATAATTTTACGACAAATGTCACAAGCTCTTCATGATATGGGGAGGGGGGCATGCCTCATGTACACACTGTTGAAATTCGTCGGTCTCCAGGAAACATACATAGAGAAGAACAAGGTCATCAATAATCTGACATTATAGCAAACTAGTACGTACGACATAGCTGTGAACATCGGTGGCTCTGGATTCAAGACATTTTTCATTTGCAACATCCGACATAGTAGCAATAAATTATGTTTATGCTCAGCCTACTTAGCAGTGATTTTGTACCCTACTCGTCCCAATCCCCTCCCTAGTAGCACGTGATATTGTTCCCCGTAGGCAGGCACTAAAAGTTCAAAAAAGTTTAAAGGATCGCTAAGTGTACAAAGGTAATAGAAACTCGAAAAAACCCTCAAATTTCAAGTAACAACTTTACTCCATACTGCGTTGATTCCATAATTTGCATGTCAGAAATGTACCAATGTTGTTCAGTCACAGATATTGTACACTATTCACACTAGAAAGCCGGAATATGCGAAGACAAAGTGCTTTGCCGTAGTGGGTGAGGGAAATGAAGACAACCCTTTAATTCGATTGTTGTTATCTTAACGCTTTCCCAATGAAGTGCATCTGGTCAATCCTGTACTGTTCCGCAAAATTCCAACACAGATTATAAGCTTAGGGCCATAAGTGTTTCCGAACTGCCCAAAACAACGTTGGTTAGTAGGGTCGGAGTGCTAGAAATGACACAGCATGATTATTGTTACGTTCAACTTCCTTTCATTTGTGAATATCCTAGATATACATACATATGTTGAACTATTTTCAGAATTTGTACTAAATAAAATCAGACCATAGCTAGCCATCCACTGAAAACATGTATATTCAAGTAAGAGGGGGAGGAAAAAGTCATACTGTGTGGCCATACATGTATCACCATATCAGGAAATTGTTTTCCAGAAGATCCTACACTTGTATTGTGAAACTTTGCAACAATGTTTAACGTGAATTGCAAGTACAATGTAGTTTTCTTTGACATGAAGTTAACTTTTAAAGACTGGACTATGATCGGTTTCCGGAGATATATGTATGTATGATTTATTCTCATCGTCTTCCGACTTTGATCTGCTATTTGGAACGGAGAGGGTAGCAGGTCACTGTGGAAATTACGTTTTAATGTAATATTTCTTGTGGTTTATTATATCATTATCAAGTTAAATATGTATGGTTATTGGTAGGGACGTCTTGTAGGAAAGATGGGGCAAACAGATCTGTCCACATGGCTTAGTGAAAACATGACAGAATTGTAGCTTTTTTGGTTTAGCTTGAGCTTGAATCTTGAACAGTAACTTTAGTTAGTATATGTATGTGTAATATTTGGTATCTTAGCGTCTATATATATATCTTACTATAAACGAGATCCAAACGGTTCGATCACTTCTGCTGAGCCGGGTTTATTAGTCCGTATGTTAACTCTAATATGCATAGCTGTCTATAGCAAGTCTTTCCACATGGTCATTTTCATATTTCCCTAATTATACAAATCATGATAAGTCATAACCGTTACATATGTTCCAAATGGATTCGAATGGGTGTGTACACAATAGCCAGTTTATATTAAGGTGCATGAAGATATCTTTTACCCATGTGTGTGTGTGTACGAAGCTAGGTCACCGCCACAATACATGACCAACGGCGCAGTTTCGAATGAATTTCACCGACCAGACCCCACTGCTAGGCTCACGTCTATGTTTATGAAAAGCTGATAAGACTATTATTACATCAACACACACGTGTCACGCCCTTTTTGAATCGGTACGTCAGAAAGGGGTTTTCTGAGAAGAAATAATCAGCACCTTTGAAACTACCAGAGCAAATGCTCTATATGCAACATTTTCTTTCAATTTTTCTTTACACCACTTGGTCGCATTCAATTCTTTAGAAATAGAAAGAATTTCGAAACCGTCTTTGCTCTCTAGTTTCTGGGTTCTTAAATATATCCATGATCCTTTTTCTATATTGAGTTTAATAATTTTCTCGACCCCTACACCATGTTCGGAGAAGTCCTAGGACGAGTTGTCTTTTCATCGATACCTCTCACACCAGCATATTGATTTGCTGTTCTGTGGTCTTGTGTCTTCTTCAAGTAGAGACAGTTTTTCCTGACATGCAGGACGTCAGAAATAAGGTGCGTCTATAGATAGAAGAAAATGTCTAGAACTCGTGTAGCATTATTTGATAAGACACTTAAAGATAAAAAATTGACGGTCGCTCCTCTCCAGTTCAGAGCACGATCACCGACCATTCTTTATATGAGTGATATGCCGTCGCGATTAGTTTATTAAAAAGCAGAGAAATTATTCAGGATAGAGTTACGGTTTCTGAAGTTGTGTTAAGAAGTCAACAGGCTTCACGTGCTGTGTGGTTTGTCCACTTATCCCGGCTAGCAACACCCTTGCAACTTATAAGCAGAGCCCCAAAAAATCCTAGTCTTACTTGAATGTACAAAAGTGCCCAAATCAGGAAATGGATTAGAGACTGGACAAACAGATTAATAGTGGATATCATTAACCCACTTTATCCAAGCGAGAGGGCAATCAGATACAGCCACTTTACCTGTTGTTTTTGTTTACCAAAGAACAACAATCAACAAGCAATGATATCAGTTTGACCACTAGTGCCCCACCCTCCTCTCTATTATTATACTCTCCGTTGTTCCAAACTTCGATTGATGAAACGTCTCCTGGTCCTTTAAGGGTAATCTAAGACACTGACAGGATTGTCAGTGAGTTTTTGTTGATAGAAATGTGCCCAGATAGTCGCATGAATTACATGTACGCACCAAAATGAAGGTGTTTTACTGCCGTTTGGTAACACAGAACCCGCCTCGGAACAAATTCAGCTGATCTCCAAACAGTTTATGTTTTGAGTGAAGATAAAGTCATCAGCTTATCATCACTTATATTAGTTTATGTCCCATTAATGCACTCTTGGGCTGCAGGTATGACGCACTTTCCTCGATTTTCCTTTGCTGGCTTTGGCGACTTCTGTACAGTCAAAAACTGGGAATATCCTCTTTGTGTACATGTGCCTACAGCCTACCTTATGACATGCAAGTTTTGTGTGAATTAGCTTATCGTGATCAAGTCATTTAGGATTTAGTACTTGAGACTCTCCAATCACTTTGTAAGTTTGTCAAATGTTTGACGAAATGTCTCATTTCGAGGTAGAAAATTAATTGTTGAGCAATCGGTTGTTCTATAAAAAGTTGAACATTTCACCGATTAGTGTTGACGGAGTTAATCGGGTAGTCGTGCCTACCTTGACGGGGTGTAGATAGCCTGTGGCCTGCAGGCGATGCTGCTTCGCTCGGGACTCCGGAGTATCCTCACCACTGTCTAGGGTCCTCATGAGATGTGCAATGTAGGTTGTAGCAAGTACAAGGACGTCTAGTTTGGACAGCTTCGTGTCCGGTGGGACGGAAGGAAGCGTCTTTTGTAGCTCGAGAAACGCGGAACGTAGCGTCTTGACCCGCGAGCGTTCTCGGGCGGCGTTGGAGCCCGTGGGTCGCTGCCGTTCCCTCCGGCGGGACTGCCTCGAACCGGAACGCTTTCTCCCGCCGGGAGAGGTCTTAGAGTCGGGCGACGAGGCCTCGCTGCTACTACAGTCGAAGTCTTGGTTGGTGTCGGACATGATGTCGTCCTGCCCGACACTCCACCTCGCCTGGATGCTTCTAACACACGAAATCTCGAGCTGATTAGTTTATGTAAACTTCAGCGTAACTTGAGGTCGGCGAGAGTACCGTCCCGTCCAGTGGGGTTCCGTCACTTCACTTGCTCGAAGAGCTCCGATTTTTCCCAGCGAGGAGGCACGTTTCGCGGACCGAATGATCTACAGCCCCGGACAGCTCGTCAGTCAGACGCGGGTTGGACGATGAAGCCCGGGAAAGTAAAGTTATTGTAGGAGGAGAAGCTGGACAGGTTGCTGCGCCCCCCGTGTGCTCGAGTGGCGCCGCCCCACGTCGCGGGTGACGGGTGGGGAACGACAAGTCAGATAGGGCGCTGACAGTTACATCTCAGCGGACCGATACATCATAGCGGGCAGGTCTCTTACATATCATAGACAGGGACTTGGATGGAACATAGTTCCGAAATAGTAGACATGAGTTTATGATGTACTACGTCAAGCATGGAAAACGATCAAACGCGCAATAAACATAATATCATTGAAGAAGTTCACGACAATGTCAACAGGGATGTCAGAGCCAAACGCCAGAACAGTTGACTAATAAAGAAACAGACGAGAAGTTCCAGTGACTTTTATCTTGTCCACATACCATGCATGGTATGTTTCGGTGTTATGTCTCAAGGATATTGTAATTGCTAACGTCTTATCAGATAGATCCCCATATCTTTTCAATCAGCACACCGTTAACGTTGTTCTGCGTTTAGCTTGTGCGCATCACAATCGGATTGCTGTTATCATTGCATGGGACACATGTGCATACATACAAACCATTTGTCAATACGTCACTTATGTTTTGGTTCTGATATCGAAAAACACAAAGGATGTCGGAAGGACCGCGGCCTGTGTAGAGGCAACATATCAGACTGATTGACGTTTGATTTTCCATTTGATTTTTGATCGCGGTTTGCTGAAAGAGTTCCATCAAGCTCAAACAAGCCACTCTTTGTGATGTTCGTTGCAGATTTATATCCAAAGTCAATCGCCCTCTTCTTCTTTCACAACCTCATCCCCTTCATTATCTCATCAATATATCTATATAAGGCCTTAATTTGTGCCTTCCTGTAATCATGTAATGGTTGCTCCCTTTTAAAATGATATGTAGGAAACAGGATACCTGGTGATTGTGCCCGGTAGGTACATTCCAGCTTAATTGGGCCGGGCATGGAACGTGCCACGGTACAGAGAAACTGTCGAGGCCAATATTGGGTCTTATAACTTTATCATGACATATCCCATGGAACTGAACCACCAGAAAATTGATTACGATTACACACGTAACCTTGCCCTTATCTTCTGATCACTCTGTCAGCAGTCAAAGTTGTTGATACATACTTGCCTTGGAGGTTCAAGTGGACACAGTCAGGAGAAAGTGTATGTAATGTCAAGTTGTTCTTGAGCAAGGCTATCTTAAGACAAACTAAATACGATTAATAGGGTACTCTATGCTCATGGTACACATGGACTTTTTTGTCATCACCTAGTACCTTAGCTAGAAAGAAATGTATTCTCATGTATTTTCGGGGATAGCTAAATAAGTAGGTATGCCCGACTTATAAAAAATGCTACGCCCTCTGTACTCATGCGTTTGTCCTTTTATGATATACAATTCGTAGGCATCGACAAATTATCTTAACGACCTTTTAAAAAACTTTGTTAACATTAACAGTGTTAACATTAACAGGTAAGCTTTCGAGCCACTTGCAGACGGGTAAGTGTGAGTGAGAAATCTATAAGAAACTGGCCCTGCGTTGTATGCTATTTATTGGTCCGAGATTGTTGACTACGGCGAGAGTGGTCTACAAGTGTTGATAGTGTGTGGTCGGTGCACAAGAAGTGGCCTCTTTGCAGAGCGTGGGACCCAACACGTGTAGAGCACGACGTATCCATGACGGATAATCTGGCGCTAGGTTGTGATGGCAAGGATTTACAGGCACAGAGATTAACACAGAGAAGGTCCGGCAAGGACTTGGGTTACACGTTACGTCTGCAGTGGTTGCGCTCCATTACTATGCCACAATGCAAACTTTTCAGTCGAAGAGAAGTCACTGGTTTGAATCCGCGCGTGGCGGAGGCCTCCTTTCTGCTGCGACGGCGCGCTGCGGCCGGGCTCTATAGAGTCTCGCTGTTTGTTGTTCTTCGTGCCGAGCCGCTCAATTTGGGCCGAGAGGCGGACGTGAGGTCCCGACGGGAGGAGAGATCGGAGAGAGACAGCTGAACTCATCGGGGAGCCGGCCGTTTGAGTGGAGGGGAGGGCAAATGAGACCTCACCTTAATCGAAGGAGACCCGGGGTCAGGGAAACACTACGAGTGAGGGGCAGATCGTCAGGGGGGAGGGGGCGTCATGTAGATTCTACCTGCCGAGCTAGACAATCCGACGTGCTTTGTTGTCTAGGACGGATCACTTTAGACTGTTATAGGCAAACACAATCGTTAGATTGTCAAACAGAATACTGTGACATGGGGCGTCTACTTTCAGCCCCAGCATGGGAAGGGAAGTGTATCTAACTCCACAAAGTGTGCATCATGAAAAGAAGTGCCCTTGAAGGACTCGGGTTTTCTCTGCAGACCAGAACCATGCCCAACTCAAATCTCAGCACCTCATCATTTTTGTTACAGCTTCAGCAGTCAGGGAAAATTGGTTTGTAAAGATTGTATCGGCTGTTCGACCCTTAAGTTGTACATATATGGTGTTCTTAGTAAAGGTATTAGCAGATCACACATTGATATTTTTATTCTAAAGGCGGTGCAAAACAGACGATGTTTTAAAGATTGGCGACTCATAGCGGTTGACAGCACGGCTTCGAGTGACACTGGGGAAAGTATTTGTTGTAGTTTCGTGCAAGAGCGGACCCAAAAGCCCATTGTTCTAACTTTACGCCTACATGTAGAAGTTTAGAATGTCTCGACATCTCACACAAAGGTCTTTTACGGTAGCCTTGTGTACAGCGAACACACTGATAACAACGACCACTGCTCGTGAATCATCGCGTACAGAAGCCCTAGCCTCTGTCTGTACCTGTCGCTTCTTGTTTGCTCCCCGGCTCATTGCCACTGAGTAATGCGATCTCCCATCAATGAGAACGGTGGGCATAGTCAACAGTGTTATATCAACCACTAAGCTTTGTGCAAATACTTGGGTAATGTCGCGATATAGAGCAGGTATATCCAAGATTAATGTTGCCTTTGTAATTGGCCTGTCCAAGTGAGCAAGTGTCATGCAGGGACCTGTTTGACCTCTAACCCCTGTCAATCATGTTCATGGTAAGCAGACGCCATTTTGGACGCGGGAAGGACGAAGGAAGGAAATTGAGTCGGGCAGGGACTGATATGATTTGGGGGGAGTGTGCGCCGGGCAAAGTGTTGGCGTGGGCGGGATGGCAGGCCAAGTGATAATTCCGATAAATCTCACGGTCGGATAGCCAGACTTAATTGTTTTTTGGTCAAAATGAAATCGCAAAGTCAGTGGTCACATTGCTACCTGTAATGCATGAAGGATAATGATTGCTGGTACACGGCATCGAATCTAATGCTGAATTGTCCTTTTCTTCGGCGTTACGGACACGTGATGTCAGCAATTGGTCAAAAGTGTCAGTCATTTTGCTCCACCCGCCGATCATGATTGCTGTTGTACTCTAGTGTATCGGTTCCACTCACAAACTTGTCATGTTCAATGCCTAGTACTTTGGTTCGTCCATGTCCGATGATTTAACCTTTATGTCTTGTGAAATTTCCGATAACAGGGCAGACCAACACCGCCCCCTATCTGGCATTACCTGTTCTACAAGCTGCCTGTGTTCTATGTCGCCCCCCCCCTCCATGCAGAAATGTCCCTCTGTCAGTATCAAGCTGGTTGACCCGGTATTTTGAAAGCTGACATAGAAAGAAACATATCGAAACGACTTCCACTTTATCACTTTGTTTTCCAACTACTGCATATCTTCTGCATCGTTTGTAACTAACTGGCAAGAGTCAGTCGGACGTCCCCACAAAATAACAGAGAAATGGCATCACAAAGATTCGATGTACAGACATCGTTCTTACATTTATTGGCACTTTGCGAAATACAGAAACGTGAAGAAAAAACCGTGATACGACAATAATGATACATATCAAACATCTTGTTAACGTCAACACAATGCACAATGTCTTCAATAATAGTGACGCCCAGCGACTTTCGTTTGTATATACATGGTGTTTCCGTGTGACGGCATCTGCTGTTCATACCGTAATATCTGAAGACACGTGGGAACAGTGTTTAACTCCCTTATACAATGTAGTTGTAAAGATGTGAACAAAAATCTACAACCCAAACTGACAGTCAATAACGAAGAACCTCAACTAAAACATATACTGTACTCAATACACTTGTCTTAACAATTTTACGACAGCATGCATATATAGGAATAAACAACTCTCCGTAACATCAAGGCAAAACCAACGCTACTTACTAAAACCTAAAACAAGAGCTCGGAGATCTCATATATACTTCTGAATCAATGAAATATTTAGTGCTTTTCTAAAGTTTGTGCTTTGTCTTGCTTGTATTATTAACTATCACATGCTGAGATACATAACACACCTTCCTCTTTTTTGCAAGGTCAAGTATTTTACCCACGTATTCACACAAATTTTAGTGTCCAAGCCTGCTTCTCTTGCCCATGATATAAAATACCAAGTAAACTATACCAGGCCAACTACATCACCACAAAACGGGGGTGTAAATATTATGACAACACTGCGGATCTACTGCTAATGCACGCTAAAACGCAAAGGCTCACATCGACCACCCAAAGACAAATTTAAAGGAAAACTTGATAATCCTGCAGGGCCAGCTATTATAAAGGGGTCCAAATTTATACCACTTAAACCTTACGTCAACAACCAAATGTCACCTAAACATCACGTCCACAGACCGTCCAGCGCCAAAGATTAAGTTTTTAAAAACCATACTGCAGTACCAAAATTGGCTTACACCTCACCTGCTAAATACCATCGCAATCCGTCTGAGAGATCTTGATATACATGTATTCATCCAAACATCATCCAGAACAAAATCAGTACCGCATCTTGTTAGGAGGCAACAACTGTTAAATAACCAGTGAAGACAGCATCAGCGGGGGCCTGGGAAGTTTACGTCATTACTTTTTCCTAATTATGGGTTCACCACACCACGAAGTGGTGTGGTGAAACCATATTGCTTTTTCTGATGTTTCTTCTTCTTCTCCTCCTCCTTCTCCTCCTGCCATTTTTTAAATGGATTCAGCTTCTTCATTTTAGGGCCCAAGGTCCTGAAATTTGGTATGGAGGTACAGTGGGCAAATACCCCTAGGCGTTTTTTAAATTATTGTGATACAGGCTTTTAGAATGGTTTTATTTGAGTTTTTTGGCTGTATTATAGCAAATCTATTACTGTGTTAGTGCACCGTGTTTACCACGTCTGGGCATGAGTCATCACAATGGAATGCAGGGCATCAACCAATAGGCATGCAGCTTTCCTCTATACTTCTTGCTGATTGGCTGTTGGGATTTAACTTGATTAACACAAGCACAGAGCATTTCCACCTGCACAGAGCATTTCTTGCTGATTGGCTGTGGTATTTACTGATTAACACCTGCAC